TCAATGAAAAAAATCCATTTGGCCACTATCGAATGCAATTTAACGATGTTTTTGTGTGACATCTTGTACGTAATGTCTGTATCTTGTACGTAAGGATAGAATAAAAGATTCGTTTCCCCAAAAAAATTATAAAACTGATTTAAAATAAAAATAAATCTGAATAATTTTTCGTGGCAGCTTTACGTACGTACGTATTTCGCATAACTCAAAAACTAGTAGCCTCAGAACGTTGAAATTTTGTATATAGGACTGCTATAACATGTAGATATGCTCCTCGTATTTTGGTTGCAATCGGCCGCATCAAACGTATATAAATATATGTATATATATATATATATATATATATTCTGGAATTTATTCGAAGAAATACGTGTTTAAGATTCGCTTTAATTTTTTAATATAGATATTTTGCGTTTTTGTGTATTTTTGCCTTGTTGGGAAGTGAGAACTGAATTAATTGAATGAGAAATACTGAATCGTCTGTGAAAAACTGTTTCTTTTTTGTATTGTTTGTTTAATTTTTTTTTACATCGTTTCAGATTTGTTATAATATTTGAATAGAACATGTGCAACGATTATATAATTCTTCAAATAATATAACTTTATATGCATTCTGAGTTATAATATGAACGAAATGTAACGATGTTAAGTGAACCTAGCGCCAGAGTGTCGCTATGGTAACAAATATAGTGAATTTTAAAGAGTGCATTTATTCTATTGTGGTTTATGCGCTATCGACGAAGTAGATTTATTTCAATCCAATAAGTTTAAATGAAATGCAAGAAAAAATGCGTATGATTTCCGTGCAAGGAAGTCATGTGGTGTACACATCACATTTTTTTATCAAGAAACATATGACATGAGAATCCATTACACATTATGAGTGTTTAAGTTCTTAGCTTCTGCAGTGGAATGAATGACTAGATCAGAATATAGTAAAACTTTTTATAATTATTTCCGAGTATATTTTTCCAAATGCATTTGCTCACTTCCATAGCATATCAAAAACAGCGAACTAAAATCACGTCCTTATAGTTTTATACTATACAAATAGCAAAAGGTTTAAAAAAGAAAATTGATTAAGGTTAATAATTTTATTTTCTTTAGAAATAGAAGCTGAAAAGAAAATACAGATTCTGTGATTTAAAAAATTTATTCGTCTTGTACTGTTTGTCTTTGGATAGAATATTTGTGGAGGCAGCTGACCAGCTGCAACACATCTAATCGAATTTACAAGAAAGCCAAATAAAGAGCTTTATAGAAAAAAATTAACCTGGAATATCTAAAATCGTTTTTATCTAATCCTTAATTCGCTTTACCTCCTACATTCTCTTTCTATGTTTTTCTAAAATATCTAAAGACTTTATTTCTCTTTCTTGAAATGTAAGAGAAAAACACATTTAAATAATTTCCACCTTTCCTGTTAAAAAGAAATAAACAGGAACAATACAACAAGCATTCAAATGAGTTTAACCCCTTAATGCACGAATAAAAATTCAGAAGGTAGTCTTTTTTCTCTCCAGTTTTTTTTTTTTTTTTTTTTTTTTTGTGTGTGTGTTAACTTAATCAATTTTAGCCTCTTTCTTTATTTTAACTTAAAATTGCAGCGGATGTGCATTTTTGTATTCATATTTGGAGAAGGAAAAGTTCTTGAACGTATTTACAAGAAAAGAAAATTAAGTTTTGCGTACCCACGTTAATTTGGCTGAGTGAATTAAGAGGTAAATAGTAGAGAACTTTGTCTTTTAGGAGCCGAAATCATGATATTGGCTGTGATGGTCGACGGTCATCCAATCAAGTTGGCTCCATTCAGTAAACATCGTGCTACAAAGAAACATTTGGTAGAATACTCTGTTTTTCTTATATTCAACTGGAGCTCGATCTGTTACGCATCAATCTTTGAACTAGAATTCAGATCTAATCCTTTTTTCGATAAGCAGACAAAAAAGCGTGCCTATAACAATACGGGCGATGTTTGTCATTTGCAATCGTTATCACATTGTTGCAAGGAAAGGCTTTATCCTTTCTGTAATTAATTGGTATCGAAAAATTTAACTTATTTTTGTTACTACGCTGTACATAACAGTAATACTTATTATTCTTTTTTATATAGTTTCGTGCCTCAAAATTTGCTATTTATAAAATGAATGCAATATTAATATATGAAAACAGAAGCAGAAACTGCATTTGCTATTTATAAAAACTAATGCAGACTGACTATGCGCTGGAAAACATGTAAACATAGCTCGGAACAATGAAAAAAAGTTAAAATGTTTTGAGAAATCGGTTAGCACATATCCTCATACCGAGTTACTTAATTCAGTAGTATAGTATTCCTTTTTACGGGAACCTGAAATTATGTAATATAAGCATATATACTAAAATAAGGAGCTTAAATTTCCTTATTTTAAGTACATAATGCTTATATTAGTAATTAATTTGCATTTGAAATTGCCAGTAATTGAGAAAATGCTGAAAAAATAATACTATGTCCATGTAATAGATCTAACTATAAAAACAACACAAATTAATTTATGTTAAACGCTCTAACTCTGCCCAGTTTCGCACCTTTTAGTATCAATTAGCAAAAGCTTTTCACATTAAGATGAAGTGCATTTCCAACTAGGAAATTAGAATCTATAATTATAATCATTGCGGTGCAGATAACAACAAATGGACAATGACAACATTAAATCCCAGTATTGTGGCAGAAATTAATTACCTGTATTGATTACTACTCATTGTTTTTTGGTGCGTTTTTATTAATTTAATTATGTTACATGTATTAAGCTTTTTATTGGCATGACGTGACTGGTATTTACTTATGTATTATGCGTTACACACCAGCTTTTGCGGCTTTCCATGTGCTAGACGGCTTTCTGTAGATTCTTTAAATATATACTTTTGTTATAGCCCAAAATGTAATTATTTAAAAAAAATAATATTAATAATAATAATTAGGTCATTCATTTAAATTAGAATTTATTCGAAAGTATAAATTTATTTGACAGGCACCCTGGTGTCTAACGCAGTGCACCGGAGCCAGTCTTCAAAAACCGCAGTTAATTTATAAATGGGTTCATACATAATGCATACTCTACTTTTGCATAACCCAAGAGCATCCACTATTTAGTCTTAAGCACAGACAAATAAATGAAGAATGCAGTTTGATATTCCTTCTTTTAGCTCTTTATAAATACACTACTCGACATTGAAAATGCAACACCAAGAAGGAGTGGTCAGAAAGTGATGAAATTTGGAAAAATGATAGAGACAGCAAGTAACAATAAGTGATCTTTATATCAAAATGATAGTCAGAATACACAGCGAGAACGGCGTCGACTCAGTAGGATGTGGGACCACCGCGGACAGCGATGCACGAAGAAACACGTCTAGGCATAGAGTCAATAATGATGCGGATCGTGTCCTGAGGGATGACTCTCCATTCCCTTTCAACCATTTGCCACAGTTCGTCTTCTGAACGAGGCAGGGTTAGAGTCTGCAAACGGCGTCCAATAACATCCCACACATGCTCGATTGGTGACAGGTCAGGAGAGTACGGTGGCCAGGGAAGCATCTGTATACCTTCCACAGCATATTGGCAAATGCGAGCACTGTGTGGTCGGACGTTATCCTGCTGAAAAATTGCATTAGGCAGCCCCTGAAGGTAGGAGATTGCCACCGGCCGCAGTACATTATCCAAGCATCGCTGGGCCGTCATAGTGCCCTGAATACAAACTAGGGGTGACCTGGAATCGTAGGCAGTAGCGCCAAAAACCATTATGCCACGTTGTCGCGCGGTGGGGCGTTTCACAGTTACTGCCGGATTTGATCTGTCTCCACGTCGACTCGACACGGACAATGCGGTGAATGTCAGTGGATAAACAGAAGCGGAACTCATCTGAGAACACGACGTTTCTTCCATTCTGTCATCCAGATCGCTCCAATCCGGCACCATTCTAAACGTTGGCGTCTATGCTGTGGGGTCAATGGCAGTCTTCTTAACGGAGCAGTGAGTGCAGGCCACGTTCAATCAATCGACGGGAAATGGTTATGGTCGACATGGGAACATCCAGGGTGTCTTGCACATGCTGCAGAATCGCGGTACAAGTGACTTTCGGGACTGCCACAGCTTGTCGGCGGATGCGTCGATCCACGCGTGCTAACGTCACTCTAGCTGCACCCGCACCCCTCCTTCTCCCCACATTTCCTTGTTCTAACCATGTTCGCCATATCCGATGCACCGTGCTCGCATCCATGTGGGTATCAGCTGCGATTTGACGCAAGGACCAAACTGCCCTTATCAGTCCGATCACCATACCCCTCGTAAAATCGTCTATCTGCTGGAAGTGCCTTCGTTGACGGCGGCCTGGCATTCTCTCCTCTTACACGTATCCTCCGGGACAAAAAGCAACTTTCTTCGATAATTCTTCTGGCAGAAATAACGACACGAATATTGCCCATTCTGCACGTTTCTTCCCTTGTATCTTACTTCAAGTGCGTCGGAGAGCTGCGCATTTCACATCATTCGCATAACTCAGTGATGTGCGTCTACTCTAAAATTTGCATAAATTTCTGACCAATCCTTCTTGGTGTTGCATTTTCAATGTCGAGCAGTGTATTTGACTCGTCAGAGAAGTTTCTTAAATTTTCTGAAGCAACCTGCATCGAATAACTCTATTTTATCTAAGATATTTGTTTTAACACCATTTTGTATTAACAACGTAAGAATACTAGATTTTTAATTATATACTTATCATATAAACGAATATTTATAAGACCTCAATTTACGCGAACCCTGTAATGTCGCATCAATCTGTTTTTACCGGGGATATTTTCACGCTTAAACAACCAAAAATTAATAACACATCTGCAGAAATACAAAATACCAATCATTTTGCATATTTTCAAAACCCTACTTGTAGGACGCATAACTTATGTGCAGTATTATATTACACATACTGTATAGCTTTTATCCTTAAAGTAATTATTTACTGCAATTTCAAATTCAGACTTTTATTCCTCTTTCTTCTTTAATATCTTTGATATGGAAATATTGCTTTGAAATATTAGCTGTTATTTGTACTTGAGTCCATCGACATCTTTGCAGCATATTTTCAAACATGGCCGATGAATAACCGTAGTATTTTAAAAGGAAAATATCATTCTTTCCTATGCACAATCTGAAGAATTTGTCTGAACGAGAAAAATCTTCCATTAGCGAATACTCCTCACAGTTCTTTTAATGCATCTATTTCCACAACGACAGATTCATGCTAGGGAAATCTTTACACTTCTTGACTGGATTTCTAAAAAGAAAAAAAAAGTAAATAATTAAATAGATTGCGATTAAATTTCTTAGTCGGTTAAAATTATATAAAGATAAAACTTTTTTACTGCATAAAATACACATAACGTAAGTGTTAGGATTCAAACTGAGTATCATCCTTTCAAACTATACTTACACACCATCATAATACATAATACCATACCGGGTTGCTAAATTTCCTTATTTCATCATTATTTAAGTTTTATTTAAATTATCACGTTCATTCAGAACTCTGCCATTCAGCTACATTGATTCATGAAATTTCTTTGTTTGTTTAAAAAAAGAGGAAGTTTTCAACATTAATTCCTTATGACAAATTTCCCTATAGTACGCAGTTTAATAGCGTCATCAGTAAGGGTTACAGACAAAAGGTACCGCAACTAGAAGTTGCTATAAAATGGCCTTTACTTTTTACTTTTTATTTTATAACTACAGTATCCTATAGTAAGAGGTCCGGTAGCGCAGTGGTTAGCGCATCGCGCAGCAGCACCACAGGTCCGGGGCTCGATACCCGCGCTGGATAAAGTCTACTCAGCCTTTCATCCTTTGATTTCCATCCTTTGGATCGATAAAATGAGTACCAAGTTAGCTTGGGGGCTAAACACTGAGGGTCCTGCGAACCAAGCTGGCCACTTGTTCAGGGCATATGCTTACGCACCCCGGGGCCCACGGTCAAGTACGATTTCGGGGCATTGCAGGCATTGGCCCGTTAGGGCTGTTACGCCACTGCGTTTAGTTTTAGTTTTTATCCTATCTTAATATTTAGTCCAAATTATCATGAGCTATATATGACATTTGATAAAAGTATCTACATGTCACCGTGAAGGACCGAAATTGGAGAATGTCGACTTTCACCGTGAATATCAACATTCACCAAATACGTCGGTTGAAAGATCGAATATTTCACTACATTCTTGTATACCCTCACCGGTGTATGTCGACAATCACAGATATGCTCTGGTGAAAGTCGAAAAGAGAGGTCATAAAGTGCCATAATAGTTTAAGTTGTTGCAATAAATAAGATTTGAATCACATAACTTAGTAAGTTTTTATTACTGTCATTTTATTTTCTCATTTAGAACGTACTGTATAATTAAGTAAGTTTACAACTTCTTTTATTTTCCTTTCTCATTTTGAATGTATTGTGTGTTTTAGGTTCTCATGTTCTTAAGTTCTTGTTTCAAGTCTCAAGTGCGTTTATTCGCGACTGAATTACGGAGAAGAATATATAATATTGTTATATGTTCAACATTCACCATTAGTACATGGTGAATGTCGACATTGACCGGTATAAGTCAGAAATAAGAGTATTTGGAAAATATTTCGGACATACACCAAGAGACTATGTAAATGTTGACATTCACCGGTGAAAGTCGTCATTCTCCAGATTTAAGTGTTTCGCCGTAACATATATGCATTATTTTCTTAATACTGTCTCTTGGCACGTATTTACGATGACAAAGCTTTTCAAAATAAGGTTGAGAAATTTAGGTGAAAAAGTTTCCACATAAATACAAACCAGGTCCAACAAACAGAGTAAAAATTACAGTCATCAAAGTATTCACTAGGCCTGATATATTAAACAGAATAAATTTGGTACTTTTATGTGAAAAATTCGGAGCATTATCATAAAGTCTTTCGGAGCAAACAACGTGAATCATCATATACATCCTCACTGTCATTTGAGCTTTCAGCTATACAGCTGCTGCATGTGCATTCACCTGCTGTATATGCTAATATATTGCGTTTAGAATGAAGTTACCATCCCTTACAATAGTAAAAATCAAATTATAGGATTAGTTTTTGGACTGATGCTGTTTACTAAAACATTCCGTAAAAGTTATCGAGTAATTGCAAAGCAAAAGATGCCCTCTTAAGAGAATTATAAATTGAATATTGGGTAAAAAAAAGCCAGTAAAAAGATAATTATTACCCATATCTTCATGCATTTTGCACGTTAATATACGGATATTTACATTTATTGTTTTAAAGTATGTGAATATTTCACTAGCTGGGCTTGTTAGTTTACAAATATCACATAAAAGAACTACAAAATTAAAAAAATATATATTTAAAAGATAAAATTCTAAAAATTATACTAAAAAATGCAAAAGGAAACAATTTCTTTTATTTTTGATGTTAAAAATATTCTCAAAAATTATCTCCCTAATTTTGAGACATTTTGTTATTAACAGTGTATATCAAGTACCGATATTTAAAATAGTTGATATCGATATAACCATTCTTGTCTGGAGCACTCTTGTGAGAGGTATCCAGTAAATTACTGTACAGTGATTCTAGATATATTTCAAGAGAATACCTTAGCGTATGGTAAGATGTACAACACTTTGCCAGCTTCACGTCTTTGTAAACAATCTGATAGGTATCCTCAGAATTAAGGGGGTTCATGCACCTTATAAACCCCTTATGATCTTCGAATATGTGACTGTTGCAAGAATTGGGATATTTTATTTATTTTAAAAGGAATTATTTCCAACTTTTTACAGCTGACTACATGATATACCTACTTTGGAAACTAATAACAAGAAAGTTTGTGTTGCCACAAATATTTTTGTAATATAATCCGATTCTTGACAAAATTTTCGTCACGTTTCCATCTTGCGCGCATGATATTTTAAAAATGACTAATGGTACATACTTGAAATTCGATGGAATTCTTTATATGGACACTATTTTCTAACTAAACGAAAAGTCTGATGAATATTTAAAAATTTAAAAAATTTATGCAAGAAAATATTACAGATTTTTTTAATAAAATACATTTTATGAACTCAACTCCAAATAAAATAAAAATTTAACATGAAATTTTTAGAAATTTTGGTTCACAGTAGTTTCCAAATGTTATAAAAGCTTTATATTAAATATGGAATTTAATTATGCACTAGAATGTTTTAAACTGTGCACGCAAGGTGGAAACATGACGAAACAATTTGTCACAAAGCGGATTAAATTATAAACGTATTTGTGGCAACACAAACTTTCTGATTATTTTTTTCAGAAAGCAACTATATTATGTACTCAGCTGTAAAAAGTTGGAAGTAATTGCTTTTAAAATAAATAAGTTATCCCAATTCTTGCAACAGTCACATATTTGAAGATCTTATGAGTTTTAAGGTGTATGAGTCCTCTTAAAGTAAGAATTGTGAAGTTTCACTTGATATGGTAAATGTTCATTAGTTGGAAACCCTAACAAGATTCAAGCGATTGAATTATCGCTATGTCTGATAAAAAAAAATCGATAAAGTCGTAAGAAGGTTAAAATAACATTTTTATTTAACCATAATTTTGAATACCAAAGCACTTTCTTGTATTACTACAATAAAAGCCACAACTCGTGATAATATAGCTGAATAGAACTGTCAAATACTAATAATGGAAATTAAAATAATCATAAATGATTATATTTATTGATTACAAAGGAGGTAAGAGCTAAAAGTATTGAAAATGTAAAATGAAAAAGAAATTCTCTTCATTAGTGTGTGTTATACGTAATTTCGGAATCGAAAATATGAATTTGTTTTCTGACACAATCGTGAATGTCTTTTCAGGTCGCGGAATAATTAAATTGTGACATTTCCTTTGAATTTCACTATTACATAAAAGTTTGTTTTTGCACCTTTCCACCACCATGTCTCGTTGTGTTGTTCGATATATCCAAATATTTAAGCATATTTTATTAACAAGTGGTGCAGTTTAGAAAGAGAAAGAATCGTATTGCCGGAATTAGTTAAGGCTGGTGAGTTAGCTGTATTTTAAATCAGATTGTCTGACCTAGCTGTTTTGACCATGACTAAGCACGTTGGTACTGTATTCAGTTGCATTGTAAGTTCAAACCATTTGCTAAAAGACGAAAAAACTAAGATTTTGTTTCGAGTTATTTTAATTTGGAATTCACAGGTATTGAAGTAAAATAAATTTCAGATTTTCTTTTCTTGTCAGCTCTTTGCTTTCCCAATTGGTTTAAGCTAAAGGGCATAAACACGCCCCATCTTTAAGTTATTCTCGTGCCTCACCTTTAAGAAGTTAACATTTGAGGAATGAGTGTTTGCTACAGGTATTTAATTAGTTAGAAAAAGCTCTTCAAGCGTTATAATCTTCATATATATAAGCGGCTAAAGCGTGTGTCGCCGATAGTTTATTGTTGCCACTCGGAAAAATGAGCGCGCAAATTAAAGTTTCCGCAGATTTTAATTAATATCTCGACCGATCGTACGAAGATGAGAACGGTATCGGTGGATTCGTGGATTCGGAGAATTTTTTGGAATCCCAGGATACGCGTCTCGAATTTCAACTCTGTGCCGTTACGAAGATATTCGAGAAAAAAGAATTTGGCACGTAGCCAAATTCCTCTAATGGGAAAACCCAAGAAAGAAAGTGAAAAAGTAGGGGAAAATTAGTTTTTAATTAATATTTCGGCTAATTAAGGTCCCACGAAGACGCAAAAGGTCAAAATGGCGGGCCACGGACCTGAGGAATCCAAACGTTGTGCTTCGCAAAGCCCGGGAGCCAGCCGTTTCGGAGGAGATGATGTTACTTCACACCATATATATATATATATGTATGCGACTTAAGTGTCTGTTTGTCGTCGATAGTTTATTGGTTGCTTCCGAAACTGTACTAGCCAATGGGGTGAAGTTGCACGGCACAGGGTTGCCGTTTCAATTGAGACGTAGACAATTTCCTGTATAACTTGCCTTTGCTGACCATCCATAAGTCTCAGGGCCAAACGCTTAAGCGCGTTGGCATTTTTTTACCTGAGCCTGCATTTGGACACGGTCAACTTTATGTTGCCTGTTCAGGAATTCGTGAAAGAAAGGACGTAAAATTAAAAATAATGGATGGTCCTCTGCAAGGCGAGCTTAAAAATGATGGAAAGATCTACACAAGAAATGTTAAGAGATCTTTGAAATGTGAATTAATATTTCATTATTTAAATCACCTTTATTGACTGAGATAGTGGTGGGCTGTTAAGAAATGTACCGCCAGTGGTTTCCTTCATTGTACTTTTACTTTAAGCAATTAAGCAAGTAGAAGGGGAAACCCCGTGGGCAATAAGCAAAGGGACGTCCTCGCTGCCTGCCCTGGGTAATTCAGTTTAAATTAGCAGACATCTTTGCACAAATCATTTTAATTACAATTTATAATATCTAGAACAGCGGTCATTTCGTATGACCGCCGGGCTTTCTAGTATATAATAATGGAATTACAATTTATATTTTCAGTCCTTTTTGAAAACTATAGAATACTTACCTAAAGGAATAGAATACCTATCTTTCTATAGAATACTTACCTATCGGAAGTCACAAGGAATGGAAACTTCTGAATTGTCATCAGTGCATCTGATGTATCACAAAGTACTCTAGCAAAACTGGTTTTGTAAATTTCTTTCAGTTGCTCTAGGGATAAAGTTTACGCGTAAAAAATTAATGTTTTCATCATAATACATAATTAACAAAGCTAGCTATCTACATCTAAATCTATATTTATATCAATATGTAAGATAAAAACGTACAAATATAAATTACAATTCTAATTAGCAACAGTCCCTTAATTCCTGATATGAATTTGGGTAGTTTCCCTCTCTATCCTAAGAATGTTAATAACTTTTTCTGGACTGCGTCATTTCTATATTAATCCTATCACATAATTTTCACGTAATGATGATGTCATAGCTAATTCTGGACTTAAATCGAAAACTTTATCTTCTTAATCCACCGTACTGTGTAACTGCGCACTTTGCTTCTACCTCTGCCCTCGCTAAGACAGTGCCTCGCTGCTTTATTTCTATTGTAACGATATCAAAATTGTAATTGTTGAAAGACAAAGTTAGCATGTCAGTTTATTTGCGGTCGAAAATTGTTTATTGAGATAAAAAGAAGATTTAATCTGCCTCTGCGCAATCGTCAATAATTGAAATGTGATCGCATTTCACCTCTTTCGTTTATAAAACTTCTATGGAGGAGAGAGAGATTTATTTTCTTTCAAGAATGGAAAGAAGAAATAATCGAATAAAACAGGAGATGTACAGCGATATTAAAAAATTAAAATTAGTATTAGTAAATTTTACATGCTATTTATCTTAAGGGGGCTCATACACCTTAAACCCTTCATGATCTTCGAATATGTGACTGTTGCAAGAATTGGGATATTTTATTTATTTTAAAAGCAATTACTTCCAACATTTTACAGCTGAATACATAATATAGCTGCTTTGGAAACTAGTAACCAGAAAGTTTGTGTTGCCTCAAATATTTTTGTAATTTAATCCGCTTTGTGATAAAATATTTCGCCATGTTTCCACCTTGCGCGCATGATATTTTAAAAATGGGTAATGATACATACTTGAAATTGGATGGAATTCTTTATATGGGTATTATTTTCTAACTGAACCAAAAATCTGATGAATATTTTAATATTAAAAAATTTTATGGACGAAAACATTACAGATTTTTTTAATAAAATGCATTTTATAAACTCAACTCCAAATAAAATAAAAGTTTAACCTAATATTTTTAGAATTTTAGGTTTACAGTCGTTTCCAAATGTTATAAAAGCTATATATTAAATATGGAATTTAAATATGCAAAATAATGTTTTGAACTGTGCGCGCAAGGTGGAAACATGACGAAAAATTTTGTCACAAAGCGGATTAAATTATAAAAATATTTGCGACAACACAAAACTTCTGATTCCTATTTCAGAAAGCAGCTATATTATGTAGTCAGCTGTAAAAGGTTGGAAGCAATTGCTTTTAAAATAAATGACTTATCTCAATTCTGGCACAAGTCACATATTCAAAGATCTTATGGGTTTTAAGGCGTATGAGTCCCCTTAAGTATATATATATATATATATTGTACGAAATACAATGCAAAATGCAATGAATGTACAATATACATATATGATGCAATGAAATATATATATTAAATGCAATGTCTGTGTTATATTGCTCATGCCATACATATGCAATCTTAAAAATTTTAATAGCAATTTAGAAAACATTAGCAAACCCAAATGAGTGTCAATTTTTGATAAATTGTTATTAAAGTTTTAAAAAAATTACATACGCATGGTCTTATTTTCTTTGCCTTGAAATGATCTTTGCAAGTCCTTTATTTTTCTATGTTTTATGCTTTAGAACTGCTCTGCTTCCTCTTTGCTTTCTTTCCTCCCACGGTATTTCGTAAGACAATTCTTTCCCCTTTCTTGTTTCGGTCCGCGATGTTTTCGCCTGTAACACACAACTTTTAAACTTTTAATTAAGTTATTAGACCAAAGGCGCGTTAATCCAGAAAGGCTGTTAGCGTCGAAATGGCATTTTGCGCTGAATCCCTAAAAGCGTTTTATCACTTTTCAAATTGTGGCCACTAAATATTATCTCTCTGTATTATATTTAAAAAATTAAATAATGAAGAATCTGCATAAATGTATGCATGTTTCTCGCATAGTGAAAAAGCAACGGTACCTAGAGCCATCAAATTTTGAGTAACACCGTTCTCCACCTGAATACGAGCACCTGAAAGACCACATTTGTAATTTGTAAAATATTTTATTGTCTATTCCATAAACGTTTAACAGCTTTTTCATTAACAAATTCAACGACTTCAAAGCGAGCAATGGCAACACTGAACAGAAGAAAAATATATTTTTATCTCCATCGCGCGAGACTATCTATTCGAAGTTCCAAAGATATGCTGTTCCTAATTATTTTTAGCACAAATGCACTCGAAATGTATATGTTTATGTAAATGAAAGAACACCCTTTTGGTCATAATGTAAAATCTGAAAGCTTTCAGATCTTTTCTTTTAATGACTTCGAAATTTAAAAATGAAAAAAAAAAAATTGTGTTATTCAGTAATTCTGGTCTCAGGAGTTTTCCGAACTGTCGATTCCTTGACAAGAAATCGGTCGGCAAAATGTGTGGGGGGGGGCTGTGATGCAGGCTTCGGAAATGCGTAAGAGGAAAAGAATAAAGGTCTGTTTTCGCTTTCCATACATGTACGTAGTGCACACAGTGAAATTCTTTTCTCTTTCCCTAGTAAGAACTTGGCCATGGGGCGGTCTGCTTGAAATGGCGTTTCGATAAAGACTTCTTTTGGCGTTCTGTGTGGCCTGAAGCGAACGATTGTTTATGTCTAGGCAACAACCTTTTTACAATAAGCCTTGACTCGAATTTAGGCACCATTCGTTGTTATGACGTGACTTTTTTGATTTTTTTCTCCCGTGAAGAGGATGGTACCCTAGCTGGGAGAAGGTCGTCGCAGACTGCGATTCACAAATTAATTTGAAATGAAAGCATGCTTGCATCGGTCGTTACTGTATGATTAATAATAAAGCCAGGATTTAAAAGTGGGGAGATTTGGTTGAAAGGGGCGCTCAGAGAGTTTTGCTTCAGCTGTTCGTGCTTGAATTGGATGCCGAGTTAGCAAAAATGAAAAAAAAAAGGAATAGATTTTGTTGAAGGTGGACGGAGAGGTTTTCTTCAACTACTAATTTTGAGTTGAATGCTGAGCGAAACTGGAGGCTAGGAGGTGAAAAAATGTTGGATTTCGTTAAAGGAGACAGGGCTTTCATCAGGCTTGGCTGTATTTGATTATCTTGGTACTGGTTTCATGCTGATGAAAAGTTAACTGAAAAATTGCAGAAACGCACGCTTATCCTGAGACGGAGAAAGAACTCGTTTTTCAATATCTAGAAAAAAAAAGGCCATAACAATGAAGAAGAGAAAGCAAAGTAGTGCGATGAGCACCCTCGAGCATATATGAGATAGAATAAAACTTTCTAAGCAGTCTCGAACTCGAGGAAGATGACCAGCGGTATGAAATGGATACGTGTGTGATGTAGCATAGACACCAGAAATAATAAAACATCTGGAGAAGAAGATGCGACGAGCTATGCGATGTTCTCGGGGGGTGTTCCAGTTGCCGAAGCTTAAAAAGACAGTTACGAACTGATAAACATATCGGCTTCTATTTTCCAGCGTACAATAAAGAGACTGTTACTAACTGATATTTAACGTAAGAGAGAAAGCGGCTCCACTCTACGAACAGTATCAAACTGTGTTATGTACTATGAGTGACTGCGTTTGGGACAGGTTTCATGTGTCCAAACATTTGCAGTCTGTATCTTGGAACGTTATCGCACTGCATCGCTAAATTTGTTTTGTTTCTTGACCATGAGGATGATCAAGAAATTATATTATGTAAATCTGAATTTCATTTGAATGGTAAATATTTATTCAGGAGTTTAGGATAAAGCTTTTATTTGTATGTTTATTATGACTTTGATGTGTTATTGGGGAACTTCAGAAAATATATTTAACCCAAAAAATGAATGGTTTTTTTAGCTAAGATATGTGTTTATTTAGGAACAGATCCAGTTAAAGAATTGTAAACATAAATATGTAAATGAGTAAATTAATTGCCGTTATATTTGTACTAAATTGTTAGATTGTTCTTTTGTGTAATGTTTCTCTTAGTTGGAAGAATAAACGTACCACTCCGTTTTATCAAATATTCTGATACATATTTATATCAATTAACATTATTCATATATTTTTGCGCCAATTAAATCCCCTCAACAACTGTGACGCGATATCTCCACCATTACATTTATTTTATCCATTATTAGCTTATGCTACAAAATTTTAAAAATCATCTTTAAGTCACTCGACGAATGATTTCGCTACTTCTACTGTTCTTTCGATGAGGGGTAGGGCATTAAGCCAGGCACTTTGGTATCTATCACCGTTTTACTGCAGAACGTCTGATAATGTTGACACTATTCAAACTTGTCTCTCTATTTGCTAACGTTAACGTCAATTGCCAGTTTGTCAACGTCTGTTGCATTCGTGGCTTCTCATCTAAGGGAGAAAAAGATGACAACGACCATTCTTCATATTGTTAGTTACCCAGATAAATTGGGCGAGGTAATAATAAGTTATTAAACTATTTTAAGAATATTATTACACTTTATATAATAAACATTTCACATAATTGAGAAGATTCGATTCCGCGTACGAGAATATAAAATTATGATGCGTAGACCATGGAAGATCTGGTACCATCTTTTGTTTCAAAGGAAGACTACAAAAACGCGACTACATAGCACTTCTGAATGTAACACGACATAAGAGAGCTGAAAAATCGTTGCACTCTTCATATGCTTTCTTGAAGTAGAAAAAGCCCACCAGCGGCCGAGCGGTAAAGTCGCTGAACACTGGTAGTTCCGTCCGAGGTTCGAATCCCGTCGAACGGGCTGGCTGCATGGGTGGTTTCGTGATTTTCCCCATGTGTAACGTGTATACGAGCCAGTTTACCTTAGAAAGGCCTCCACGAAGGCATCCCTCCCCTTAGGCAGATAGCCCTAGTGTGCTTTGCCATAATTAAATAATTAAATACACCACACCTTGAAGTAGAAAAATATTGATCTTTAATTTCTGTCTTAGCTATTGAATGACTTGGTCAGGCTTTTTCTCTAAGAATTACGTATCATTAAATCATTTCCGTAAATTGAACATGATGCTGGATACTATGTTCTAGTGCGCTTTCCAGAAAATTCCAGAAAGGATTCAGCATGATTTAATTGGCAATAATAAATGAAGCGTTATCTTTGTTGTTGCGAAGCTAAGTTTCTCTGGATTGGCAACAAATCCACTAGTCTGCTGTTTCAAATGTAAACAATCAATGGCCGCCGTAAAAAAAGGCTTAGCGGCACTTAAACAACTTTAAAATTGTTGATAATTCTAAAACTATTGCACACAGATTTATTAAAGGCATAAAAACCTTAACCGGAAGATAAAAACAACATAATTCAATCATTTTTAAAGCAAAAAATGTACAATTTACAAATATATAATAGTGTCCTGTGTCTAGTCTCTCGACGATTCTTCATTTCATTACAAACTCCAAACGGTGTTGATTGCCCATTTCACCTTTCTTCTGAATTTCACAGAATGTTGCAAAAGACCACAACAAAATCACTAAGTGGGTATACGAATGAAGAGCTAAAAGTGCCTCTTCTGTTTTTAACGACACTTTCCCTAAATATGCCTCCCAGACGTGCATGTATGTTTCCACATTAAAAATTCATGTTGTTTTGCTTGGAAGCATAATTTGTAATTTTCAATGAATTATCTTGCTGAAAATTGCCAAAATATACAAATTCTCTGTATGTTGAACAACAAAGTTTTTAGCGTTTGAATTTTTGGAATTTCAAATTTAACTCAAATAAACCAATTATTTTGCGTGCAATTTGAGAAAAGCGTTTTTACCTATCGGGTTTCATACACTCTATTTTAATTTTTTAAAGTTTTTTTTTAAATTTCTATATATAGTTAAATTAAACTTAAAGCGTCTAAAGTTATTATTAAATTGGAATAAAAACAAGGCAAGTCCTCTATAACAAAATCATTGCAACCGTGCATAAGAGGTATAACACAATATCAAAACTAATCCAATTAAAGAAAGAATTCATGGTAGAACAATCTCGAAAAATAAAAATGCGAAAGGGAAAATAATATACAATCAAAAATTAATCTCCTTTCATTGAAACTCCAGTTCAGAACTCATCAGGGAAGAAGGAATCAAAGCTTCATAAAAGTCGATTACTGTGTTTCGAAAATATGTTTCGTTTTTCTGGACCATTTGAGATCAAAAACCGTAAAACGATTTCATCAAATTTTTATTAAAGACTTCATATAAAACCGAAAGCTCGAATCTCAAATGTACTAGAACTTTCTCTACACATTTCCGAAACACTTCGGAAAAAGAGTAAAACATAATATTGTGCAAAAATAACAATTAGAAAACCATTGAATTTTACATTATGTACATTGAAATTCAAAAACAAAATTGGTCAAAAACCAATATATGCTAATCTGAAATTTAAAAGCAAGTACAAGTAGAGTCATTTAAACAAAACTAAAAATTTGGGAGATCCCTGATTATGGAAACTAAACGTTTAATACCAAGAAAATGAAAAAATACATATAGAGATTTCTATAAGTAAAAAAGTCAAATCTGAGCCTTAAGTAGTCGAAAACTGAAAATCTATTTAAAACAACAATTGAAAAACACAAACTTACTCAAATCTTAACACCATGGCCTTCTATGCGTAATCTAACTGAATTCTAAAGAGCACCAAACTAGTCACATATAGTTAACTTATATATACAGATCTTCTACGTATAACTATTCATTAAAAATCTGATGTGTACACCACATGACTTCCTTGTACGGAATATTAAATTATACGCATTTTGTCTTGCATTTCATTTAAATTTATTGGATTGAATTAAATCTACTTCGTAGACAGCGCATAAACTGCATTCTTTAAAATTCACTCTAGTATTTGTTTAACATAGCGACACTCTGGCGGTAGATTGACAAACAGTATTATATTTCGTTCATATTATAACTCATAATGCACAAAATTTATATCATTTAAAGAATAGAATTATCTAATAGTTGCCACATGTTCTATTTAAATACTATAATAAAGCTAGAACGATGTATAAAAGAAATTAAGCAAACAAAAAACAAAAAAAAACAGTTTTTTACACAGACGATTGAGTATTTTCATTCAATTAATTCAGTTCTGACTTCGCGAGAAGGAAAAATACATAAAAGTCAAATATCTATATTAAAAAATTACGAAGTAAATCTTAAACACTTATTTCCTCGAAAAAATTCCAGAAAGGATTCAGCATGATTTAATTGGCAATAATAAATGAAGGCGTTATCTTTGTTGTTGCGAAGCTAAGTTTCTCTCTAGATTGGCAACAAATCCACTAGTCTGCTGTTTCAAATGTAAACAATCAATGGCCGCAGTAAAAAAAAAAGGCTTAGCGGCACTTAAACAACTTTAAATTTGTTGATAATTCTAAAACTATTGCACACAGATTTACTAAAGGCATAAAAACCTTAACCGGAAGATAAAAACAACATAATTCAATCATTTTTAAAGCAAAATAATGTACAATTTACAAACATATAAGAGTAAAGAAACTGAGATCACTGAGCCGGGTAACAGAGTGGATATATATATATAAATATTTATATACGTTTGGTGCGGCCGATTGCAACCAAAATACGAGGTGCACATCTACATATTATAGCAGTCGTATATACAAAATTTCAACGTTCTGAGGCTACTCGATTTTGAGTTATGCGAGATACGTATTTACGTACGTACATACGTTCGTACAGACGCCACGAAAAATTCTCTTCAGAATTCATTTTAAAGCAGTTTTATAATTTTTTGGAGGAAACGAGTCTTTTATTCTGTCCTTACGTACAGATATCACGCAAAAACATCGTCTAATTGCATTCGATAGTGGTCAAAATGGATATTTTCGTTGAAATATGCTGCCTGAAATTTTTCGCGATTACAATAGTTCCTTTTTACTTCGTACAAGGAAGCAAAGAGAAATAAACAAAACTATTGTTTCTGTTTATGTTAAACAATAATAGTAATTATATGAATGAATAATATTTACAAATTTTGCTTTAATTTCTTCAAGCTTATTTAAACTTTATGTGACAGTACTACATGCCTGGCCTCCACTATGTTCAGAACTTACATATTAAGTTAAAATAAAGATAAGCTTACAGCTAACCTTTCGTAAATGATCCAGCTTGTTTCTGATTTTCGAACCAGAAGCGGTCTCCTCTTCGAAGGTTCTGGAATTGCTTGCTAATGAGACAAAGATAAGTAGGGCCAAGTAATGATCCCTTCTCATGATGTTCTCCTAATGCCCCAGGAATGAGATCGATGTCCTCAACAGACCTGAATGTTAAACATACCATTTTTACAATTTAAATATCACCAGAATACTATCACAAAATTTATTGGATAAATTAGAATGCTAAAAATCTTAAAACTGAGAGCAATTTTTAGTATATTCTATATAAAGAATATTGTATATCACAGTAATTTAGCTAGCAAACGTATTATATTTATTGAATATATGACATCCATATATCTCTCTCATTTTTGAAATTTCAAAATAAATCACAACTTAAATTATTTGATAAATTTTGAATTTACTATTTAAATACATCGTATGGCTATAAATTTGTGTCAAATATTTCCCTCTTAAATATTATTTAGACCTAAATTAAATATACTTTGCAATGTATTATAGTAATGTAATGATAATTATCTTAAACTAGAAGGACAAAAATTATTCATAGAATATGTTATAAGCAATATGACAGAATGTCAAACCACTGACACTATATAGTAAAGGGAAAATGAAAGAGAAGCAATTTATAAGTCATATTCCGATTTAATATCAATAATATAAAAGGCAGGATTATATCTCATTCGACTCTTGAAAGAATTTACTTATAAAGCTTCAGTCTTTAGTACTGATAGCATTGCATAGAACCAACATATTCGTTCTCGCATTTGAAATTAAAAATAAGCTTTTATTATATTACTGGAAGGAAATTTTAAGGAGGGAAAAGTTCGGCTATTTGAATTATATTTTACTGACAACAAAATGCCATGAGATATAACTAGTTGTTTACATACATTTGATGTCGTAAATTTGTGCGCATGCTCTAAACAAATGTTCTCACATAAAACATGATTGTATGGTCAGTTAAGAATATAAATTTGTAAAAAGTTTGAAAATATAGAATTTTTACCCTATACGCTTCACTTACATGTACATTTCTCTCAGGTCATCAACTCGATTCTTAGTCATAATTTCATAAAGATCTTCCCATGTGTTTACCTCTGATAAACCACAATATTTGCGCCATTTTGTATAAGAAGGTAAACCGTGATCTCTTCCTCTCTGAATCGACATTGCAGTTAAATCATGACCATGATTCTCAAAGTAATGCTGTAACAATCTTCCTCGAACCTGGAAATAATGAATATGTTTACACAAGTAATAGATATTATTATCAACAAATTGCCGTTGCTCCGCAACCTTGTGAAATCAAAATTCATTTTATTTTATCATCGCTAATATATGTGAAATTACTATTTTATATCTACAATGTTATGCTTCCAAAAAAAAGGGGGGATAACCCGAAGCAGGTCGTTCGACGCCGACGGTTCGACGCCAAAGTTTCGACACCGGGGTAGTTCCACACCGTACGTTTCGACGCAGGGGTAGTTCGAGGGCATAATTTTTTTTCGTATTTTTATTTATTTTTAGAATAAATATGAAGTAATATAAATAAGTAATATGACTGATTTTTTATTTATTGAATTAGCGATTGTTTGCATGCATATTTGAAATAAATATATGTGTGAAAGTGTTCTAGATTTTTGTTTGTGTTCCAGATTAGGGAGAAGCCCCCTCGCCAAGGCCTTCGGACATGTGGGAGGTTTTTTTCTTTTTTTTTTTAAATTTATTTATTTCACAAAACAGCATCAAAAAGGCAAAATACACAAATGGTAAATAAACATATAGTTACAAAGTAGTTATATTATATTGCAGACAAATATAATTACAGATAAATAAGATTGCAGATAAATAAGATTACATCACAGAACTGTTATTATACTAATCCATTGCAAAATTATGCGCCACACCTTTCAGGTATTCCATTATTTCTCGATTTTCAAAATCTTCAACTATTACTTTAATTCTCATATCAGCTCGCAGATACCTATTCTGCTTGTGCGGTGGTTCATCTCCACGTACAAATTGTTCATAACATTGATCAATTGATTTTTGAAAACGCCTGAGACCATCTATGAATTCCCACAATGTGGGGTGTGAAACACCAAATGATAATGACACCAAATTTATTTGAATGATGATGCAAACTTATTCTAAAAATAAAAATACGAAAAGTATGGCGTCTAACAAAAGCAAAAAAAGTATGGCGTCGAACTGACGATCTCGTTGACGAAACGATCTCGTTGACCACGCGTCGAAACGCTGATGTCGAACCATTGGCGTCGAAACGTTGGCGTCGAACTGACCTGTACCGGAATAACCTGCTAACATGTTTATGATATAACAACATAAAAATTTATCTTCATAAAATTACGTTAATAAAACACCCCTACTGCGTTAAATGGTAAAAAATATAAATTAGTTTTGAAAGTTTTATTAATTTACCTCTGTCGTAGTATAAGGCTCTACTTGATGCGTTCTTTGAGAAGCCATACCCAGCGTAACATGATCCAATCCACATTTGTAGAGAATGCTTGGATTCATATAAGTTTTATGTAAAGGAATTTTGCTTCTCAATTTATGGTCTGGCCCTCTGAACTCCAAGATACTCTAAGTAAAGTAATCAGATTTGAAGATTATTTAAAAGAAACATAAATAAGACTCACATACGAGTAAATAAAGGATAATAATTTTTTTCATTGCTTTTTAGCATGCCAAGAAAGATCTATCCAAATAAACTGTTATATTATAATTTATTTTTTAATTTTCTATCGGATTAAGTTCCATCTGAGTTTTGCTTTGTCAATTCTCTCGTTATTTCTTGTTAAGTACACATTTCTTGTGTTAAATAATAATCAAATCCATGTTCCCTGAATAGTAATTTAAACGTCTCCCTTATCGAACGCTGTGATAACCGTATTTTCTGTTAAGGGGACTCATACACCTTAAAACCCATAAGATCTTCAAATATGTGACTGTTGTAGGAATTAGGATTACTTATTTATTATAAAAGCAATTAGTTCCAACCTTTTACAGCTGACTACATAATATAGCAGTTTTCTGAAAAAGTAATCAGAAACTTTGTGTTTCCACAAATATTTTTATAATTTAATCCGTTTTGTGACAAACGTTTTCGTCATGTTTCCACCTTGCTGTGCGCACATTTTAAGCCATTCTGTTGCATAATTTAATTCCATATTTAATATGTCGTTTTTAAAAGATTTGGAAAGTACTGTGAACCCAAAATTCTAAGAATTTCCTGTTAAATTGTTATTTATTTGGAGTTGAACTTATGAAATGTATTTTATTAAAAAAATCTGTAATGTTTTCGTGCATAAAATTTTTTAATATTAAAATATTCATCAGATTTTTGGTTCAGTCAGAAAATAGTGCCCATATAAAGAATTCCATCCAATTTCAAGTATGCACCACTAACCATTTTAAAAATATCATGCCCGCAAGGTGGAAACATGGCGAAAAATTTTGTCACAAAGCGGATTAAATTTACAAAAATATTTGTGGCAACATAAGATTTATGGTTACTAGTTTCCAAAGCAGCTATATTTATGTAGTCAGCTGTAAAACGTTGGAAGTAATTGCTTTTAAAATAAATAAAATATTCCAATTCTTGCAACAGTCACATATTCGAAGATCATAAGGGGTTTAAGGTGTATGAGCCCCCTAGTCCAGTGAAGAAGTTGCTATTCCGTGTACCTTCGAAATGTGCCTCGGTTTTGATTTTCCGTTCTTTACGAAAATCAGTTAAAGCCTTCTGGTATGTGGACAGGAAGGTTTCTCCCCTTTCGAATAAATTGTTACTGTTGCATGTCGTTTCGTAAATATAGTTACATGGGGAGTTTTATAAGAAATTTTTAATAGACAGACGACATCTATTGCCCAATTATCAGATTTCCGAAACATCAGAAGAACTAATTATTGAAAAGGACTATCTAGGATTCGTCCAGCTGGAGGAAGACTTCTAAAAGCATTAGATGTACCATTCAAATTTTGGAAATCTCACTGACTAATAGCGGGAAATGCGATAAATGCATGGTCAAACTGAATTTACAGTGACTAATACAATTTACAGTGACAGCAGTGACTAATACAATTTTAATGACGTTAATAAAGTTTTTGAAAAGCCAATGACTCCTTACAATGTTAGTTGTTTGTTTATAACGAGATCCGCTATTAGAATACCATACGAAAAGGAAAGGATGCCCCATGGAGCACTTTTTAAAGATATCTGGCTCGTACTTACATGAGGAAAAACAAGAAAACGTCTATGCAAATCAGCATATTCGCTTGGACTCGCACATCGGCCCGAACTATGAGTGTTCAGAGGTTTTTACCGTGCAATCTCTAGTGGGCAAGGCTGTCAGTTAGAGCCGTGTTTGAATCCTGTCGAAGAGATTGTCATCTTAGGAGTTTTGTGGCTTTCCTTAAGTGTACTATGAATTCGAGACAATTTCTGTAGTCTTCCATGAAGTCATCCTTCCGCGTAGGATTTTGCATGACCTATGCATTTATCATATCGTTATTTTTAGTGTTATTTTAGATTTTAAGGGGTATCAGAAACCCCTATACCGACAATGTTAAACTGGCCATTTTCAATGTACCTTTTCTCAAAATCTGCTGTAGATACAAGTTTGAAATTTTTTCTGTAATTAAAGTATACCTATTTGATTATACTGAAATGAGATTTTGAAGCATTTTGAATTTAAGAGTAAATTACAGAATATTTTGTTAGGCATAGTAAAATTTAGTACTTTTCTCACACAAAAAATTAAATTTTTTTTCCTAAGTTTATTACAAAATGCTCATTTCAGTAAATATTAGAGAACCTGATAAATAAGCCATAAAAACTTTAGATACCTGTGAGCAGTAGTTCCTGAGAAAAGGTACATCGAGTATAAAAAAGTCACGTTTGGAGAAAAACGCTTTTTTATGTAAAAATCCTCATTGATCAAAGCAGTAGATGACAAATTAAAACTAGATGTTTTTACAGTTCTAATTTTCATAGAGATTAAATAATGGTGTTTTTAGAAGGATAAAAGTGTAGAGAATTTGAAAATGCAAAAATCCGAAATCACAATTTTTTGAAGATTTTGGGGTTCCAACACCCCTTAAAATATGGTGGTGCGATTCAATACTTTCTTTAACTTGGACTCTCAAAATCTTTGCTAACATGTAATTAAGCAACTGACTCTATGTTTTATGCTATTTATATTTGTAAAAGTATACACAGGAATAGTGTACTCTTGTTGTAACTTTATTGCAACACTTCCCTCCTGGTGTCTAGATTTAACTAAACCTATACCTTTTTAATGGGAAATCAGAAATATATATTTTCAGCAAATTAACTAACTAAAACCACTTGCTTCGAAAGCAAAAATTTAAGTTTGAATTCAATTCAAATCGAGTTGCCTTAACATTGCCAAAACCTTACACAATTTTTATAGTTAGTTCTGCGGTAACCAATTTCAATCATTTCAGATGTGAACGTAGGTGAGAAACTGAGTGAATGTTTCATATGCATCGATTTTCAAAATATAATGTGATAAATTCTTACAGTGCTTCCCAATCTACTTAAAGAAAAAATAACTTCGTTTGATTTGATAAAAGCAAAAGAGAAGAAATTTGTTAGCGAAGTTTGAATTTGGGGTAATAATAATCTTAAAGAGGATCCTAAATGGGAAAATAAATAAAACTTACTTGAACAAGGGTATGCCCGAATCTGAAAGCAGCTGTTGAGAATACATTATATATACCTGCATCAACAGTTTCATCATATCCATCAAACGGTTCGTTTTCTTTTATTTGTAAATTGTGCTTTTCCATCTCTTTATTTCCTACAATATATGATCAGTGAATGTTTAATAAATTAGCAATAATGTAATACATGACTGGCATATATTATATTTATTTTCATACAATTACTTAAGACTAACTGAAGCCGGTAATGAAATACTAAAAGCTAGAAGAAACGGTATAATTAATAAAAACCTGCAGTTTGTAAATGGGGCAATCATAACGAGAAATCAGCTTGTAATTTGCATTACAGGCATTTTCCGAATTCTCTTGATGTATTGCTTGTATAAAAATTTCACCTACCACTGTTGCTTTGAATTCTTTACTTTGATCTGGGCTGGCCCGTGCCCTTCAATGCATATTCTCTAATTACATTTTTTGTAACAACATAACAATACTCTGTTCTTATACCCATACTGCAACGTTATTTTCTAAATCTGGCCACGAAGCTATTCCTCTTCCCATTGAATATTTATTCGTTGTCATTTTTAATAGAATCATCATTCTTTCTCCAACCTCTTAACATCTTCTCTACTATATCGTAAGCCCTTGCTACAGTTGTTCGATTCCTTAGCCTCCTTATGATTTTCAACAATTTGCTCTTTATTTCTTTCTTTTAGTTGGTGCTATTATTAGGCCCACACTTCACAAGTTTCAGTTGATAATAAATCTATAGTAAAACATTTTTAAACATACGACACAACATACAGTGAAACTTGTTAGAGGTATATTTGGGTTCGCGATTCGTCACCTGCTTCTATGGGCAGTGCTGCCAGATTCAAGAAAATAAAATTGTTCCACATGAAGATGACTGATCTAAACTAAATTCATAGTTTGGGGGTTTACTTTCACGACAGATATGTGCTAAAATTATGAAACTTTGATGAAAATTTATATCTCATCGTATCTGGAGGGCGTCAAATGTAAGGAAATGTGGTTGGTCTCATATGTGCTATTAGGATTTAAGATTTCTATTTCGGATTAATTTGTAAACGTTTGGTGATGGAAAATTTAATAAAAACTCACATTTCAAATCGAAACCTTTGCAAAAAAATCTACTTACAATCTGAGATGTCAATAATATTTAGATACCTGGAAAGACTAAGTATTTAGAATTTAGCTTTAGCTCACAAGCATATCGACCTTAGTAAATAATACAGTTCAATAATTTTCAATAGTAATATTACGTTGTTCTTAGATTCGTTTTTGATCATTTGTAAATTTTCATAATTAAAAATATTCTGTGTGCAGTGATGATAATCAGAAATTTAATGCTACATTTCTGATTTCAGTAATATATATATTACAAAGAATATCACTAGAAACACATATCAAACAAATCTGTGAATGATAGATAGAAAAATTATTTAAGCTGGTGATAAGAATCTTTAGCATCGAGTTCGAAAATACCGTATTTTTATATTTGTTACTGATAAAGATAGATATATTTCTTTGCTGAACAGCTTTGTTCTGTTTACGATCAATTTTATGGCAACGTATTCTGTCTTTAGTTTGGAAAACTCTTTGGAAGATCTTTTCACTAGTTAAATAAATCGCTATAACAGAAGTATAAAACAGACTTATACTAACATTTACCTCAGACATATTCCTCAAATTCATCTTTATAAATATCTTACCTCAGGTTAATTGATTATGGGAAAATAATTCTTGATACATCTTACTACAAGAGAGCATTTTAAGAGCGTGTTAAGGAAAACTGGCTTGCATTCACATTACATATTAGAAATCCTTCGAGATCTCCCTTGCAGCCAGGCAGCTCGCAAGGATTTGAACCTAAGACTAATTAATAACGTTTGGCGATGTAAACGTTCCGGCGCTTCTTAGATCTCTTAAATATTTCAGACTTTTCAATTCTTATTTGATATATGTTTCTTAAACCGTCTTACAAACTTTCATCTCTTCTATTTATGCAAAATACAGGCTAAATTCGTTTTATTCCACGATTTCTATACATATAAAGATGCATATCTCTTTTTTTAATTAATTTTAAAGTATGGACCATTAGAATATCCGAAATAAGAAACAAAGTTAATCTTGAATTTACGTTTCTAAAAGGCTGACAGCGATTAATTGCCAGCTTGTCGAATTAGTAATCAATAGATTAGAATTAAATGGTAATTTCATCCCGAGAGAAATTTGCTTCGTATTCCATACTATTCCACACTAATTGCGATCACGTGAAATCAATAATGAGTAGATTAGAATTAAATGGCAGTTTCTTCACCAATAGAAATTTGCTTTTTATTCTGTCATAAAGCATCCATTTAAGTGCCTCATCTCGCAAACTTAAACGTGAAAGAACATCCTTTCTTTCAATGTAATACACAGGCTGTTCGCACATTTTTTAGACGATTTTGGTAAGCGGTAATAAAAATTCGATTGCTACAAAAGAAGCAATTGCAATTGCACTATGTTTTTAAAAGTCAAAATCATCGTCTGTGGCTTGAAAGTTTTGTTTTTATTCAAAATGGCGAATTTAATAAAGCAGTGGTTCGAAGGCTACATTTATGCTCTTTCGGAAGAAAAAAATGCATACTCAGTTATCCAAGAACTATGTGAGGGTCATGGTTTTGTGATATCTAAAGCGTCAATAGGTAATATCATCAACAAGAAAGGAAAAGGATGTCAAATTAGGAGCCTCAAGTGGGACACAAAATTCCAAACAAGTATCCAAGGAAAAAAAAACGGACATCTTCGACTACATTGCAAAGGTACGTTGTTTAATGTTAAAAGAAAATCCCCCTAGTTCAAAGGACAGTTGCAAAATCATTAAAATGCTCGGTTGTCCACTGTAAACAAAATGAATAAACGTTTATTTAAATCCTTAAGAAAGCGAAAAAACGCAATGTGCATTGTCTTCTTCCAAAGCATATCGCACAACGCAGGACACGCTGCAGAATTCTATATGAGAAACACTTATCCAAAGAAAAATGGAAAACAATTGTCACAATAGATGAAGCATGGGTGTATTTAAATGATTGTAACAAGAAAAGAGCCATTTATTATCATAAAAGGGAAGAAAAAAATTTAAGTACATGGTTCAAAGAATCGAAAGAAAGTTTTTCTAAGGGATTCATGATTGTTGCTGGTTTTTCTTATAATGGAAAGTTAAAAATAAAGAATGCAAAAAAATGTCAAGATTAACTACTAATTATAATGCTATCAGGAACATATTTTATAGCCCATTTTCTGAATGAAATACCATCGCTTTATCCACAGTGCCATCCATCTGCGAGACTCCATCAGGACAAAGCTAGCAGTCACACATCAAAATCCACTGTAAATTTCCTAAAAGAAATGGAACAAAAAACTGGTATCAAGGCCATACCCTTCACCGATATCCCTACTAAATCTCCCGATGTGTCACCTATGGATTTTTGTGCTTTCGGACTTTTAAACACTGCATTATCCAAACGTTGTCCCCAAACCCTAACAGGACTCTGGAAAGCTGTTTGGGAGGAATGGGATAGAATACCTCTTTTTCCACTTCAAAAGGCATTATTATCCTGGAATTTGCGGTGTCGAAAGATAGTTCAGAATAAGGGATGTCAAATAGAACATTTAAAACACAAGAATTTTATGTAATTTAGTTTCGTGAATACAATATACATCGTCTAAAAAATGTGTGAACAGCCTCTGTATATGTTAAATAGCATATGAGCAAGAAAGATTCTTTGGAAGTGCAATGTATTTTAACAAATGCAATATTAGATTTTCCTGCACAATTACCAAGTATCTCTGGCAAAAATTCTCGGTAAGTAATCAGTTGTATTTCAGCTATGGCAATTCTTCTGGCTTCTTGAAACAATTTTTCATCGGACCAAGTAGGATTCAATTTTTGCAGTTCGTCAGTCAAACGGTTATGCTCACGGGACCATATTGTGTGCATAGTCATTAGCTCAAGATGCATATTGACACGGATGTCTCCTGAAAAGAAGAAATCATTGCATATAATTTGTAAAAGCGGTATGTTAGTTTACTCGATATGTTGTTTCACAAAATATTTGCAAAACAATTCATTCATCTTATAATACAGTTCACTTAAATTATAATAATGTTATTTTTATAAAAAGCTCATTTATTTTAAAACACGTTATCTTATAAAATAGTTCATTTATCTTATGATAATATTCATCAGCTTTTATTAAGCATGCAAAAAACGATTTAGAAATACCGACTCTCCCGTTTTTACGAATAAATTACGTACCCAACAACCATTCGGCCCGGCTCATGAATTCGTTCTTAAAATGTTGCTAAAGTCACAACACATATCCCGTAGACCCTCTGAAGACACATCGATAAATAAATGGACTAATTTACATGCTAATTTAATTCTCTGGATGTATTTCAAGATGCATGTTTACGTATTTAATAATATAAAAAAGTAACAGTTTTTAGAGTATATAATAGTTTAGCGACTTATAGGGTTAATGTTAATTTATATGTTGTTATAATTGTGTTTTAGTAACTAATGCATTCAAAGTTAATCTTTTACTTTAGTTCTTAATGATGGAGGAGGTAAAAACACCTGCTAATTGTATCAATTCATATAGTTTATTCCGACTAAGCTTTTAGTCCATTGCCATTGTATATACTAAATATTTTTGCCTTTAAGCAGACTTTATAGCAAAACACACGATTTATGAACTTCACAAATTTATCTATTTATTTTAAGCAGCTAAAGTCCAACACGAAAGAACATTTTCAAAGCTAAAGTTAATATAAACAATACTACAGAAATCTATTGTATTAGGAGAAATAGGTTTCTCACAACATTGCTCATCCTTCGGAGAGAACTATTAGTTGAGATCAGTACAGAAGCAAATATTTACAGATTGGTCCACATATCCACTACATTCAAATAATTGCTTTTAATGTAAAGGACTGAACGAATATACGTATGAACTATTTTGAACAACATGTTTATAAGGTATTTCTCTCGCCTTCTTAACGAGCCTTCCTGGTGTAATAGTTTGCACAGTGGGCAGGTATTCCAGAGGTTCACGGTTCTATTCCCGGCGAAGGTGCCTGCTTCCAAAAAAATCCTAATATCTCTACATGTAGCGCCCGAATTAAAAGGGTGTTGGTTGATGATTCTCCTCACCCAGGATTTGGCGATTGGGTCCCCTAAAAAAAACCAAGTCGCGCTTTAAAAGCGGGATTATATAAAGTATTTCTACCGACTTTCTAGCGTGCCTTCGTGGTCTAGTGGTTCTGTACGCTGGGCTGGTATTCCAAGGGTCTGTGGTTCGATTCCCGGCGAAGGCGATTGCTCATTTTTTTCATCTTGCCTGCTTCCAAAAAAATCTTAATATCTCTACATGTTCAACACAACAAACCCTTTAAGAATGCCAAACATTCATTTAAAATTAAAATAATTTTAAAATCTAATCATAACAAATGTTGCTTACATTGGTAGATATATACATACAATATCATGTAAGAGATGCGGTGTATATATGTGTTATTCGGTTTTGGGTCTTGTTGAGAGAAATTGCGTACTGTGAAACGTAATGCCTACCAAAGAAGAATACTTGGTGCAAGCCAAACAAAAGTATTTAAATGGTGATTTTCTTGAGTTTGCAAAAGAGATGAACAGGGAATGTCAACCTATAGCAACCTATAATTTAACAGCCTATAACTTCAAAGAGAAAACGCGAGATGGATAACAGGTGAAAACGTCATTGGTATAAACTGCTGCGTTATGTGAATATGGTCTAATTGCCATTACGTTAGATCAACAGGTACTTGGCTATAATTACATACTTTTTTTAGTATCAAATGTTGTCCGGGCCAATCTGCTAGATTTTTATTTCCGTTCCCGTCTTCGACAGATATAATTCTGCGCCAACGTTCCATGCATTACATCGCCGCACCATACTAGAGAGAACTACGTCAGCCGGCCACTTTAATTACCAGTATGACACATACCCCAGATAGGTAGATCAGGACGATAAACAATATTGGATAAGAATACGGATTATGAAATTGCTTATGCTGTCCCAAAAAAGGGCCTTAATAAGCTACATAGAGAAATTAAGTCTCTGAGGGCAGAGCTAGCAGATGAAACTCCAAGAATGGTCAAGAATGTGAGGTGACCATTGTTTCCTATACTGCATGTTAGCCAATGTAATCGAAAGTGAGAAGAGACAAGAGTCACGCCGCGCAAGGAAACAAGTTAACTTAGGCAGTGAAAGCTAGTTACGAAGTTGTAATCCTTAAGAATGCGAGTAGCAAATGGTCTGATCAAATTATCCTCTAAAAAATCAAATTATCAAATTATTTATTATTATATATTAAATCTATCAAATTATTTGGCGTCTAAATATGTCTGAAAATGTTGCAGCGTTACAACTAAGTCCAACGTAGAAGAAAAGCTTATTAAGTTTAATAATGTGGTCCACTATAGTTCGATTTTCAAGCCGTTGCGGATCAGTTTGTTTTTAATCAGGCAGTGATCATTTACAATTCTTCCCAGAATCTTATTCTGCGTTGCTTGAAGTCTGCCTTTGAGGCCGACGCCTAGGGAGTAGACATGTAGCATAGAACTGGTTTTATATTGCCTAGTAATACCCTTCTCCTTATGCAGAGAGACAGTCCAAAGTAATTTCCTAAGTACTCTTAGGAAATTACTCTGGACAGGTATAACCAGATATAACTCTGGACAACCAGGAAGCTGGTTAACGATATCACAGGCTTTCTCTATGACCTGCAAGTCCATGTGAACTTTTGGTTAATGATAACTCCTAGATAACTTGCATTCTTTTCACGGCTGGCAGTTTCCTTGAAAAAGTTGAGGTTGTTCAATGTTATTTTGTGTCTCCTTACCGTTAGGAACTTAGACATTGAGACACTTATGCTGATTCTGTATTTTCTGAACTCCAGTCCTATATAGCTGAAACAAAATCTTGGGATTTGGAGATGGTATTATTGGGTTGGATAGAGCTCACTTTTACCGCCGTATCGTTGGCATAGCAAGCTAATATAGAGTTATGTTCCCATTTATGTTTGGAAAAATCAATTACGTAAAACACGTAGAGAATGAGCGCAAGACATGAGTCCTGAGGCAATATTGCAGTGATGTTTTAAAAAGATGAGTAGATATTTCCTTGACGAGCTCTAAAAGGTGATGAAAGATGAAGGATTCATATTTAACGCCCTTAGATTCAAAAAGTACAGACTCTGTGAGTTTGAGCATTTATACAGTATCGGCTTCATACGTGAGATCATATAGCTTTTATCCTCTTTAGTGATTACGCAGCAGCAAGGAGGAAAGTAAATTTCTCAACAGTATGTAAATTTATTATCTAAAAATAAAATTGTGCTTTTTATGCCCTTATGCGTTTTTTATAATTTTATTTAGTTTCTATAAAAATTAAAAGATACCCTGACAGTTTTGGATGGGGTCAGGGTCAGTTTGCTTTATGACATACGAGTATTATGTTCTCGTACCGAGATCATTACTTGCTGCGGGTGGTGAAATACGACGAACAGATATTCAAGTGGGTCAATGTGATTCAGAAAGCCAAACATTTCTAGTCAAATGTAAGTAATGGACTTTTTCACACAAACTGCCGGTGGAAAAGTGAATGAGATACAAAGAATAATTAAACTCTTTAAAGGGTAAGGGGAAATAAAGGCTAATTTGGCTTGTTAACTAGAGCAGAAAAACTGTTATAGATTTGCAAAATCTTTAAAATCTAATTAGCCAAAGAAAATACATTAAGTAATTTCAGAAGCAGACTGGCGATCAACAAAGTAATAATTAATTTGTAAATTTCTTATTTCCGGGCATAAGGTTTGTTCTGGTTAATGCAGTTTGTCTTGCTAATGTACAGAACTGACATTCGGCTAAAAGTTTAGAGATGCGATCATTAATAGAAAAATCAAAATCAACATTTTCTGACTATGTCGTTTGGTTAACAAGAAGGCAATTTCTTCTTTCTTCTGCATGCACATATATTTACCTACGTTTCAGTAGTGAACACCAAGGTTGGAATTTTAATGTCGAAAAATTACACCTGCAAATCTAACTTTAGATTATATCTTATTCTTCACTGTTAATACTAACAGTGGCGAAGAACCCACTAAATTAAAGCTAAAATCATTATGGAGACAACTATTATTGAACATAGGAATTTTCAGATTAACAGGAATATAAAAAGTTTGACGCCTAAAACATAAAACAATATATATTTTTAAAGCTTAAAACCAAACATAATTCATTAAAATTTAAGTAATACGTCAATGCATTTTCACAAATATAAATAATTATCAATGGTTAATTAAAATTATCAATTAAGTATATAATTTTATAAACATAATTAATTATTTCGTAAATAAGAATCTGAATAACTTTTATTACATGTAATATATTCTTATTTTTTAATTACAATTTCTCTACATAATTGGTTATAATGTACAATACTTACATTCTGTCTTAGAGCACAATACTGAATCAAAAAACTTCAGGTAATGAGTAACTTACCAGACGAAAAACATTTATAAGGGAAATTTCTTGTGTAACAGGTTTTTCCAGAATTTTCATTGATATGCAGTAACGGAGTATTTCCAATTATAGATGCACGAAGTTTTCCTGCAGAATAAAAATCACATTTCTAGTTTCAAAATTCAGTGAAATAACATTACCTAAGACATATAAACAAACAGTTTTATTGCATATTCAAAAACTTCCAAGATGAATCTCTGCGCTTAGAATCTGGGAAAACGATTTTTCAAATTAAGAGATTACTCAAGCATGGTGAAGTTGCAGACTCTAAGAGTGTTTACGTGATTACGTGACTACATCTCTCGTGAGAGTAGGCCAGTGGTTTCATATTAAGAGATGACTCAAAAATGGTGAATTTGCAGACTCTGATAATTTCGGTCCCTTGCATAGAAGTAATACAATTTTTTATTCCTTCTATTTCGCTGCTGACCTGCTTTCCGAATAATATAAAGCTTTTGTAATAGAATGTACCACTTCTACATTTGTTTTGATATTTATCTAGCATAATGTTCAACAGTGGATTATACGACTACATCTGTCGTTAGAGTAGGCTAGTCGTTTCAAATTAAGAGATGATAGAGAAGTTTCAGGCTCTGAAAATTTCGGTCTCTTAAATAGAAGAATTAATTTTTCGTTCCATCTATTTCGCTGCTGACTACCCTTTTGAATCGAACATGCCACTTCCACTTTTGTTTTTATAATTTAACTCTTTGAAGACCCAATCGCCCGAGACGATCTTCCATTCAAACGACCACAACCGCCCGAAACGGCCGAGATTGCGATCTTGTTTACTTCCCTCCCCCTAAGGTATGCAGTAGCAGGTGCAGTTTCCCCAAATCCATTGTATCAGTTTATTGCAGACAGCTCGTTCTAAAAGGATTTATTTGTGGTTTCATATCTTTCAGGAACAGAGACGTAAACTCGAGAAGGGTTAATTACGCTTTATTGCTCAAAATAAGTGTTAACAGATGGTCCCTTTTTCAGAGCTTACAGCAAAGCCTCCACTTGGGCTTGAACTCAAAATAATAAGAAATAAGAACTTAACTAATTCTTAACTAAGGAGATATAACCAAAGCTATCAAAATTCTAAGTAGTTGTCCCCTAAAAAGCGAATAACCTAACAAAGTCCTTATCAAGGACCTGTAATACGGCCGAGCGTAATAACAGCTTAAGCATACAGAGATGTAGCCAAAAGGCAAACGGACGCTAGTCAAAAACTCTGAGGCTCTCTCTCGAAGTCAGTGGAACTTCGGCTTAAATACTGCTCTTACTCATTTGAAAACGCGATTCTAAAAAAACATTCTGGTAGGAAATTGTAAGCTGAAATTAGGATGGACAGGAAAGTAGCTTTAACTAAAGTGTTAAAAACTTAGGATAAACCGTACAATTTAAAAAATTTAGATTTTTATACATAAGAAATAAATAATTAAAAATTTTACCGCCACTAAACGTTCGAAGTCGATTAGTTTCCTCCAAGGTAGGTCCATATATTGCAGAACCATCAATGAACGATGTCATGAGATTTCTTTGCTCCCGGAGTCCTGTCAAAAATTACACATAAGAAATCCAGTGTATAATAAAAAGGAAAACACTCGTAGAATTCAGTATTAAATTGTGTTCATCGGTACAATATTCATATTTCTAAATACCTGAGAATTTTTTTATAAAACAGCTGATGTGGACATCCGCATAACTTCTTCGTACCGCCTATTAAGTTATACACATTTTTATGTTGTATTTCATTTGAACTTATTTCCTCAAATTTCATTCAAGATATATTTCTCATTCAATCAATTCAGTTCTCACTTCGGACCAAGGCAAAAATACATGGAAACTCAAAGCATCTTCGTTAAAAATTGTAAAATACACGAAATTATAAAACACCAAGTACAGTTAAAACAGTTAAAAAAAGAATTTTTAGCACCAAAAGTATATATTTATTTATATATTTTTGGTGCGGCTGATTGCACCCAAAAATGGAGGTCCACACATACAACTTATAGTAGTTCGATGTACAAAATTTCAGCATTATGAGGCTATTCGTTTTTTGAGTTGCGAGTGATGCGAGATACGTACATACGTACGTGTGTACGTAACGAGACGTCACAAAAGTTCTGAATCTTCTGAAAAAGTTCTGAGTTCCCTTTTACAACCCATTTCGGGAAAAAAAGTGATTTATTCTGTCCATACGTACATTAGCAACAAGAAGACGGCCCCTGGCCTAGGAGTTTGATACTCCCTTTCAAGGTTTGATTGAACCACAACCTCAGGACCGTTCTGGTAGGGCGCCACCCTTCCCGGTCGCTGTAGAGGGAAAACTTCGCTCACAGATCTAACCGTCAGTGAAGGGACCGACGGGCGACCATCACGAAGAGATCCACAGGGCCGATCCCAACACCGACTGCTTTTGTTCAGTTACGGTGAAAACTACGATTAAATTCCCACGAGCGAGGGCCCCACTCCCTCTCGCGGTACTAAGTTTCTAGGACAGATCTCTGGTTTAAGCATAAGCTTAAACCAGAGATCATACGTCCCTCCACACCGACCGAGAGGAATCAATTCCTCCCAGAAGGTCAGCACCATCCACCATGTAAAGTCCCCACAGCTTTGGTCACCAACAAGACAGTACCATATGGTCCCTCTCAAGCCTTAACCACCACCGAATGAACGATGGCTCTAGTCTTTACCGTGAAGACTTTATTTACTCTGCAGTTCAGAGCTGTCTAGACACAAGTCTAGCCAGTGGTCTGGAGGAATCCCAGGCTTCCTCCCATAAATGGTCGGTTCCGGAAATCCTAACCAGCCGAACCACAGAGATCGTTGTCCAGCATCTGTTAGCCTATGCCAGCCAGCCTATATCTAGCCTAATGCCATTCGAAGACAGCCAGCCTATCTCTAGCGTAATGCCGGCATAGTTTTCAGTGGGCGCCACGAGGAGGCCGGTGCTGAACTGAGAAAGACGAGAACTGGTCTCCATCCCTCAACACCTACCCTTTGATCGAACGCTGGGTCTCCTGCCTTCTCCCACTGCTTACGACGGTTTTCCAACTAAAATTCCCTAAAGAGATAAACTGATGTTTGCTTTTCCCGCGGCGGGGGGGGGAAGAAATGTAGTTAAAACACACAGGAACGATGATATGGTAAGATGTGTAGATCTGGCACTGTGCCACGTATGATATTTCATATTTTGTTTCAATAATGTTGTTATTGTTTTCAATGAATAATCAAAAGACAACTACTGTGAATTAAATGACTCAATACTTCGGAACGAAGATATCACAGACGGTTTTCCGAGCACGGTTGTCCATACGTACAGAAGTCGCGAAAACATCGTTCAAATGGATTCGACATCGGTGAAAATGGATTGGCTTTTCAAGATTAAGTGAGTTCATCTAGAATATAATTCAAAATAAAACTAAGATTCAAAATTTAAAAATGGAAAAGGCCAAAATGTTTCGAGAGATTTAAAGCTTACTTCTACTTACTTAAAGATCTATTCTCGCAATAACCGAATAAAACGCGATTATTTAAATATTTCCATTACTAACAATAGTTGTTTTACATAACGATGGTTTTTAATTCTGTTTTCAATTAAACAGAGTAATTAAATTATATATTTGCCTCACATATTTTAATTACTTTTATGTAGATACACACTTTAATACACATTTCAAGAATATTTTAGTTATAAAGATGATATCATTGCAATTAACAACTTCTGGGAAATAGAAGAATACAATATTTGCCCAAGCAGTTTGATCCTTAATAAAACTAATACAACTCAAAAAGAAATTATTAAGATTTACATATCTTTGATTTAAAAAATATCAAACTTTATTATAAAAGAAAAGACTTCAATTTTGAAACTATTAAATTTAATTCATTAGAAATCTAACATTTCGAAAAAAGCTATTGGTAACACTCTTCTCAATCAAATACATGGAATTCCAAGATATAACATTAATATCTCTCTAAAAAAGCAGGGATTGACTACAAAATGTATTGAATTATATTAAACCGCAAGAAGAATAATGCAGAATGATAAACGAAATTAGACTATTGTTAATGTTGTTAATAGGTAAATTATTCTGTTTTTTACCGCTTTCGTAACATAATTCTGGCTCATTCCTGTTGGAAACAAAAAGCCAACTATTTTTAAAGTCTCTAAAAGAGCTGCGCTTGGGTGGAGAGTTTCTATTCTAAATTCTCTATCCTCTTTCTCTCTAACTTTGCCAGAATTTATTTATTTAGTTAATTAAATAGGATTTATTTAGTTAATTAAATAGGATTAATTATTTATTTAGTTAATTAATACAGCAAGTAATGTTTCAAATTTATAAATTTTCCGTTAATTCCATTGTGCATTTCTTCTTCGCAGTGTCCTTCCTTCAAGGTCTCTGATGCCTCACCTTTCAAAAATACCATGCGTCACCTCATGTTGCTCCGATTACCCCACAGTTCCTCAGGGCTCAGATTGTTAGACTGCTGACTTCTCCAGATATCATCCAATGAAAATGCTGCAAATAAACTGGCGCTACAAAATGCATCAGCTAATATGACAAATAAAATCTAGCTTAGATTTTTATCCTCGAGCACTGGAATTAAGTAATCGTAAAAAAGCAATTTGTAAATGAATTTCTAGCACAACAAATGATCTTAGACAAGTAGTCTGAAAATAAGTTTTTTTTTCCTCCCCTCCTTTCTTCTGCAAAGGGTTGAACGAACAAAGAACATTCCTTAGGCAAATCCTCAAACATAGAACAGGTTCTCAAGTAACAAGAACAACAGAAATAAAATTGTCGGAGATAAAATTTAGAAAAGAAATGCTTAAAAAGAACTACAACTTTTGAGGAGTTTCAAGGAAACTTTAACTACTCGGAAGAAAAGGAATTAAGTTGATTAGCAGTTTGCCTTTTATTTAATTGTAGTTATTAAAAAAATTGTAATGTTCTGTTTAAAAATACATATAGGCATAAAATTCCAATACCTGGACAAATTCCTATAGCTGGGCCGTCTCTAACGAAGTTCAAGCAAGACACATTTAGCGGGGCGTAAAAATTGTCAGAATCTTCAATTTCTATTTCCAAGCATAGGGGATGGCGAAGGACGTCAGGACTGCAGCAACCTAAAATAGCACCTATAAGGGAAAATATTAAATGAAAACGAATTTTGAGACATTTGGAGCACTTAACTTTTCCATTAATGGCATGTTACTTCCACTGACAATTAAATGCTTTTATGTCATCATTGGCGTATATGTTAAATTTTCCTGTAATGTGAAGACATGTGCAGTCATACAAATTCACATGTTTGCTTTTGCTTTCATAATCCTTTTAAATTTTTTTGTGAAACTTCTAGTGTTAATAAGCTCTTAGAAAATGTACCTTGTGTAAATTTTCTTTCTATAAATATTCCTTGAGCAAATTGTCCTAGAACCTTTAACCAAAATTTTGTCTGCTGGAGTTTTTCAAGCATCAGTTCTTTTTCTCATAACTTTCAAAGAAACGCAAACAATTTAATCAACAAGAAAATAGCAGATTCTTTGTGGAATCAAATTGGAAGCAAAATAGTAGAATAAGCATTCAGGAGCTATGCATTAACAGTTTTGCTCCTGAAGGAAAGAGAGCTGCGTCTGATCGACCTGAAAATCGTAGAGTTTTATTTAAAATGTAAGCTGAATTAACTTCTTATGGATTTGCCCTTAAATCCAATCGGGTAGTATACTTTCCCCAACCAATCCGCGCTGATTTACCCGGCTTTTCATTTTTTAAACTTTGCAGTGTCTCTAATAAATGTATCTAAGTAGTCTAGGAAAGACTGGATTGGGAAACCAGTGCAAAGACAGGCTTTATTGCTTTTCGTTTAAGCTTTGTGTGTTGCTCGAAATGGAAAGATAGAAGAAAACGTTTCAAGAAAGAAACCAGATATATTTGTTTCGATTGTAATATTGGACTCTACTTATCTCCATGTCATAAAACAGGTCATACAAAAGCTGAATTTTGAAAAGAAATAAAAATGTAAGTATTAAAAAAAATACTTTTCCCCCTAACATTTATCGCCTGTAAAGTGTTTTTTGAGTTTCTCACTATCGTCAGTAAAAAGCCAAATTTAAGTAAAAATGCTTTATTTTCCCCGTAACTAAAAATTATTTTTAATTAATAAATGCAATACTTGAAACTGTTTTGACTGCAACAAATCACGTAATCGATTTGAATAAAATTGTTTATAAAATATATGCCTACTTTTTTTTACAATATGGCGGAAAACTTAAACCGGTAAATGGTTCCTCTTCATCTTAATTCTAAACCCATAAGAATATTTTTCGAAATTATATTCAGGATCATTGCAAAATAATTTGATATATAACGATGATTTCGTAACTAAATCGGTGATGTGCATTTAACGTCCGCAAAAGAAACTGTAGAATAGATACCACGGTTAGAATTAACGTAATTGTATTTTAATCAATGCAAAAGGTACGGCTTTCACGATGGTGTAAAATTATGTGAATGGGAAACCAAGTGTAGGAGCAGTGTGTGTACAGCTGAAATAAACGTAGTCAAAATTTAAGAGGTATTTTTTAAGGTATCTGCCTGCGTTCGGAGCATTTTTTTTAAAACATAGAATTCTGATGAAATATATATTTATTTAGTCAAAATATGATATCAAATCATGAAAATAGGTAAATTTTTAGGAATATTGTCATAAAGTTTTGAAATATATGCAATTTTATGCACATTTTTAGGAGAATTTAACACTTACGTTAAATGTCGTATACTTTTCCCCACAGCATATATTTGAATTTTATTTATACTGTATACTACTACAACACTCATCTGTGTTATGAACTAAAATGTTTATGATATTTCTAAAATTTACTAAAATATGTGTAATTACATGAAAAAACACAGATTTTGTAAAATATTTCTTATCGTTTTATATAGAAATACTTATAAAACAATCAAATTAATAAGTATAACTTAGATTGTAGCTTAAAACCTAGTAAATAATATAAAAAACACTTTAGTCAAATTCAATAGAGATACCTTTAGAACATTTTGAGTAATTACATTTCTTGTATGTAAAAACATTAGAAAAATTAGTTTTCCAGAAAAAGCATTTAAAGACTTCACATTAACAGAAAAACTGTTCTGTTGTATTTACACACTTAAAATTCTCCACATTTGTACATCACACCCTCCATATCTTTATACTTAAGTAATTTTGATTTCCTATTTGATTTAAATTTTTTTCTGGCTATTTTCGAAATGAGCGACGAATGACGTTTCGAAATCTTTATTCTTTCGTTATAAATTCCAAAGTAATTTTTAATCATTTCTTGTTCAATTGATATGCCTAAATGTTCAAACACAGGAAGTAATCCAAGAGACCCTGAATTAAAAATTAAAACGGCTATATATGCACCCAGCAACATAGTCTTTATACCTAATCGCAAAGTTGCCAGACCCAGTTCAAAAAACCGCAATGTTGCCAGTCACAGTTAAAAAAATTAAGGCAAATAATTATTGCCAGAAACAAAAAAAAAATGTACCCAGAATTAAAATGAAATGTTTTAGCACAATTTTTTACACACAAACAGATAAAAAAAAAAAAAAAAAAAAAAAAAAAAAAAACACGGATAACAAAAGTTGAGCCTTTTAAATGGCACTTCCGATCTTTCTGCTTTCACTTCCAGTGCAGTTAATTGGCTATATCTTCTCTTCTAATTATCACAAACGTAAAAAGGAACCATTTTTGGAATCCTACAAAACTGACCTTTCAAATTGCGCACTTAAAAAATCGCATTTTTTCGCCGAAATCGTTTTTTTAACGTAGGCAGATACCTTAAATTTTCAAAATACATATTTGTTATAGGATTGTTACTCTCATCGAATTATGATTTTTGTATTTTTGCCTTATAATTTTTGTTTCTAAAATACGAATTTCACTACGTACTTCAATAATGTTTTAAACTTAATTTTTAATTTATTGCATATGATTTACAACTGTATTTTGTTTATAATGCAATTTATCTCGAAAAAATAAAGCTTTGCTTTAATATTCACAACTGCAAAGCATTTATGAACGAATACAAATTAAAATTTAAGTTCTTTTTTACTAATGAGTTATTCAATCGAGGAATGAAACCAGTCTCTTTTATCATTTCTCTTAAAGCACTAATGTACTCATTTTGCTAGCGGATTTTGATTAAATTGGTAGTACTGAAATGTTTTAAATTCTCTTTCTAATTAAATAAAACTATAAAACATTAAAGATTCAATAACTTGACAATTCGGCACCTGCTGAACTTGTAAATAGATTTTGGTCCATATCCTGCACCTTATGCATCCTTGAATATGAGACATTCCAATCTAATATAAAACGAAATGCTAGTTTCAGGCATGATAACTCGTATATGCAAAAACTTTAATTATACACGAAACAAATCTTTTTACGGAATTACTCTCTCAGCTTTAATTTCAGTGCTGGGACAAAACGCATCGCTCATGGAAACCATAAATGACGACAAGTGTAACAGCATATTTACACCAAACTGTAATTATTGTAATTTAATTTAATAATTCTTAAACATATGTTACAGTGAAAGACCGAAATTGGAGAATGTCGACTTTAACTGGAGAATGTCAACATTCACCAAATACGTCGGTGAAAGATCGAATATTGCATTACATTCTTGTACATTCGGCCACTCGCCGGTGTATGTCGACAGTCACAGATATGCTCTGGTGTAGGTCGAAAGGATTCACTCAGATTGGTGATACTGTACGAATATAAGTCCCTGATGTCGACCGAGGTCGTACAGATAACCGAAATGTGTTAACGGTTGTTGTTGGAACAGAAGACTCCGACTTCTATAAACTTGCAAACGAAAATGGTAGCCTCAACCAGCTTTACACACGTAATGAGTTCGTAATTTGTAAAGAAAAGTTACTTTCCATAGATGTGATTTATTTTGAAGAAAATGTCGCTGAGAGAAGCAGCTGAAGCTAATTCGAGAAGCGGTGGGCAAGGCTCAAGCTGCCATTGCAAAAGGAAGTGTTCCACAAATAAATGCAGTTGTAAAAGCAAGGGTCTCTTGTGCAATTCAAAGTGCCTAAGTGTTTGCAGTAAATAAGATTTGAATCACATAATTTTAAAAGTTTTTTATTACTATTATTTTAGTTTCTCATTTACAACGTATTGTATAATTAAGTAAGTTTTTCACTCCTATTATTTTCCTTTTTTGAATGTACTGTGTGTTTTAAATTCTAAGGTTCTTATTTTAAGTCTCAAATGCGTTTTTCCGCAACTGAATTACGGAGAAAAAATATAATATTCTTATATTTTCACCATTCACCATTAGCACATGGTGAATGTCGACATTTACCGGTGTAAGTCAGAAATAAGAGTATTTGGAAAATATTTCGGACATACACCTGTCATTAGGTCAATTGGAAGCAGAAAAGATGAAAAATATGAAACCTCCTTCGCCGGGAATCGAACCACGGACCTCTGAAATACCGGCCCAGCGTGCAGAACCACTACACCACGAAGGCACGCTAGGGAAGTGGGAGAAATACCTTATATATTCCCCTTTTTAAAGGGCGACTAGGGTTTTAGGGGACTAGTCGCCAAATCCTGGGTGCGGAGAATTATCACCCACAACCCTTTTAGTTAGGGCGCCACTTGTAGAGTCATTAAGTCAATTGGAAGCAGAAAAGATGAAAAATATGCAACCGCCTTCGCCGGGAATCGAACCACGGACCTCTGAAATACCGGCCCAGCGTGAAGAACCGTTACACCACGAGCGCACGCTAGCGAAGTGGGAGAAATACCTTATACACCAAGCGACTAGGTGAATATTGACATTCACAGGTGAAAGTCGACATTCTCCAGATTTCGGTGTTTCACCGTAACATATATATGTAAAATAAAAATATTTAGTTTTCAATAGTTCCTTAACTAAATTAATATTATTATTTATATATTGGTTATTTACTGTTTCCATTCTAAAAGCTATCAGAGCTGGCAGGTTAATAACATGCAACGCCCATGCGATGACAGAAACTCTCTCTCTTAAATCCCCAATAGTTCAACTTCATCCTAAAAATTAGTGCCTCAAATGTCTCGGGCATATTTTTGGACTTAAGATTTAAAAGCTTCAATAACGTGCTACATCGCTTTCTTCTTTCTTAATTTTTATCGATTTTACAACTGAAAATGATTCACGAAGAATACCCAATCTGTCGTTTCTTTATGTCTGGTTTCTGTGTTATCATACGTAGTTCATTCATAAGTCACAATTCTCAGTTTCTTTCAGTTGCCCATATTCACCTTGCCTCATGGTCCGGATCATATCCCACTTATGCTCTTTCTTGTCTCAAAATGTTATGACACCTTCTGACAATGGTACTATAGAATGTAACCTTGAGGTCTGATTATTTGCTGGTACTACACCTTCTCTTGGAAACACTCGATGTTTGGTATTTTCAATAGTGGCGGACATCATTAATTGATAGCATTGAACATTTTCTCAAAAGTCAGATATATGCTACGTATGCTTTCGTTTTTAAAATTTTCAAAGGGTGATGAAAGCATTTCACCGTATTTAATCATGCAACAATGCTACATTATTCTTAGACTTACAACTCAATGGAACGCTTCTTGATCAATAAAAATAGTATACATTATTATTGACTATAAATTTACATTCCTTACCTGCTGCTGGAGCCGATCTAACAACATCGTGATCAATTAAGAGACCAAAATTCATCAAAAGCATGGTCGTATTTGCATCTGATAGAGTCTTGCGCGAAGAGAGTTTATTTGATAGTACCCGAGCATTAGGAAGTGGAACTCCATGTATGGACTGCCGAAGATGAGCAACATCTAAAATGATAAACCAAATATAATCATTTCTACAAGAAAATTTCTCTCCAGTACTTTGCTTTTAAGAATATTTTACATTTGTTTGAAATATAAAAAAAAATCATTTTTACGTACATTGATCAATATACTTTATTTTCATAAGCAAAAATACAATTTTCAAGTCATTTATTGATACAACTAAGTCTCGATGTGCAATTTAAAGTTTTTCCAGATTTCCATATTTATCATTAATGTCAGAAACTCTTTCGGATTTATGTCATTGTTTCGTTGTTGTTGGCCATTAATATCCATAGCGAAACGACGGTTTGAGCTTCTGTTTATTAGTATACAAGTAAACAGAGATATTGCTGTAAGTTGCTCTTCTACTGTGATAGCAAACTGTTTATGAATTACAGTAGTATTATTAGGATAAAAATAAATAAAAGTAAACATATGAATTTCACCTTAGGTTGTCAGGAGTTGTACGCCTTATTATTTCCTTCGGAAACATGATGTGTCCTGAATAGGAACAAACAGTTTTCTCAAGCTATGTTCAAATATGTGTGGAATTGACAACATCAGCAGGAAGGGTTGACTTTGTAGTGTCATTAGATTAATTGAAAGCAGAAAAGATGAAAAATATGCAACCTCCTTCGCCGGGAATCGAACAACGGACCTCTGGGATACCGGCCCAGCGCGCTACCGTTACACCACGAAGGACGCTAGGAAAGTGGGAGAAATACCTTATATACTCCCCTTTTTAAAGGGCGACTAGGGATTTAGGGGACCTAGTCGCCAAATCCTGGGTGCGGAGAATCATCATCCACAACCTTTTTAGTTCGGACGCCACTTGTAGAGTCATTAGGTTAATTGGAAGCAGAAAGGATGAAAAATATGCAACCGCCTTCGCCGGGAATCGAACAACGGACCTCTGGAATACCGGCCCAGCGCTCTACCGTTACACCACGAAGGACGCTAGGGAAGTGTGAGAAATACCTTATAACTTTACCCTTTATTCTCTATAAAATTACAGGTGTTCCCGAACTTCAGGATACAGAGACCAACCAGTACTTATGGCCTGAAACGTAAAAATAAGAACTAAAAACTAACTAAATTTAAACTTTAAAATCTAATTTTGAAACTCAAAGACTTTGCAAAGACCTAGTACAAGCTAAAGAATTGCCTTTTAAAAGGTTTACGTATTGTAGCACGCAGAATGCTGGGAAAACTACAATGTGTTTTAAAAGTATCAAGAGGACTAAACCTTTTGGCCTTAAAGGCAAGGACAGCAACTGATTGAAAAGCGGGCGTGAGATGCAAGGTTGCGAGAAGTCTTTGTCTCTAACTTTCTCACTCTTGGTAAAAAGCCACAACTTAAATACTTGGGCGTTAGCAAGCACAGTTTGCATAAACAAATTAAAGAATTTATTTCTGGCCGGAAGTGGAAAATAAAAAAAGATGAAAAGTTTTAAAATAAAAAAATCTGATGTGTACACCACATGACTTCCTTATTACGGAATATTAAATTATACGCATTTTTTCTTGCATTTTATTTAAACTTATTAGATCGAATTAAACCTACTTCGCCTACAGCGCATAAGCCACAATAGAATAAATGCATTCTTTAAAATTCACTTTACCATAGCGACACTCTGGCGCCAGATTCACTTAACAGTATTAATAATTATATAACAGTTAACTTATATAATAATTATATAACGGAAACTAAGTTAACTGTTACATAATATTATAATTATATAACAGTTAACTTACATATTTCGATCATATTATAAGTCATAATGCACAAAATTTATATCATTTAAAGAATAGAATTATCTAATCGTTGCCACATGTTTTATTCAAATACTATAATAAAGCAAGAATGATGTATAAAAGAAATTAAGAAAACAAAACAAAAAAAGAAACAGTTTTTCACAGACGATTGAGTATTTCTCATTTAATTAATTCAGTTCTCACTTCGCGAGAAGGCAAAAATACATAAAAACTCAAAATATCTATATTAAAAATTACGAAGTAAATCTTAAACACTTATTTCCTCGAAAATATTCCAGAAAGGATTAAGCATGATTTAATTGGCAATAATAAATGAAGGCGTTATCTTTGTTGTTGCGAAGCTAAGTTTCTCTAGATTCGCAACAAATCCACTAGTCTCCTGTTTCAAATGTAAACATCAATGGCCGCCATAAAAAAAGGCTTAGCAGCACTTAGACAACTTTAGAATTGTTGATAATTCTAAAAATATTGCAGACAGATTTACTAAAGGCATAAAAACCTTAACGAGAAGATAAAAACAACATAATACAATCATTTTTAAAGCAAAAAATGTACAATTTACAAACATATAAGAGTAAAGAAACTGAGATCGCTGAGCCGGGTAACAGAGTGGATATATATATAAATATATTTATATACGTTTGGTGCGGCCGATAGCAACCAAAATACGAGGTGCACATCTAAAAGTTATAGCAGTCCTATATACAAAATTTCAACGTTCTGAGGCTACTCGTTTTTGAGTTATGCATACGTTCGTACAGACGCCACGAAAAATTCTCTTCAGATTCCATTTTAAAGCAGTTTTATAATTTTTTTGAAGGAAAAGAGTCTTTTATTCTGTCCTTACGTACAGATATCGCGCAAAAACATCGTTAAATTGCATTCGAAAGCGGTCAAAGTGGATATTTTCGTTGAAATATGCTGCCTGAAGCTTTTCGCGATTACAATACTTCCTTTTTACTTCGTACAAGGAAGTAATAAACTTTAGTAAAACTTAAGATCCTTACAATGTCAACCTAGCCCTTATACTTAGCGGATTCCTAAATAGCACTTCCAGTCGATCGCCGCCTTAGGCAAGTACGAGGACAGTTCGAAAAGTAAAGATACACCGTACGCCAGAGGAAAAGAAAAGTTTTGGTGAGTAAGTTTGCAACACAGGTGTTAACCTTGAATCGTTAGCTTTGTCCTTGCGGTCGTTCAACGTTGATTTTATTCACTGAGTATAATAAGTGTACATTATGGCAAGTATTATAACTATAATAATGTTATTACGGAATTTTGTACATGCATACGCACGAATGTGAAACAATAGAATAAATAGTATGCTTTAAAGAAATCAATCACAAATTTCCACATAAAATAAAAGTTTTCAAATGTTTATATGACACAAGACATTTTTCTTACCATCTGCGTAATGAGCTTTCTGATGTCTAAGAAATGATGCACCATACATTCCCCAGCGTGGATTGGCAAGATTGTTGCAACTTCCATCGATATTTCTATAACGCTTGTTTGGTTCGCATTGTATTGGAGGCAATATTACATTTCTGCACTCGTCTGGTATCACATCTAAGCTGACACTGCAATAAAGGGAAATTTGGACACATATATATATATACTTCAGATATTAAATATTTAGCAAGGATGCACATGGACTCAAGCTGTGAAAAAATATTACGTCAAAATGTAAAGTTTTGTTAAGTGCACTTTATCTGTATTAATATGTTCCTTAAAATTAAAACTTTTCGATTCGAATTCCTTGACTTCGCATTCTAACAAACATGAATCAATAAAATTTGCAATATAATGGTATAGTTCTGTTCCGGAGCGCCGGAACAGAACAACTCAACCTGACTCTTTCGCATTCGGAACTATGCCAAAGAACATTGAATTCAGTTGAACAGTCAGACTTATATGAACGCATTTGCAAGGCAGCTGGAATGCTGTCTATTTTTCACTATTTTTGTTGTGTTCTCGTGTTTATACGTTTTAAATGTCATTTTCTTGTTAATACTTGTATTGTGCAGTTATTTAATATAAGTTTATGTTAAAAACGAGGACGGGTATCTAGTTCATTCACATTACATCGTAACAAGTTCCTTTTTATTAATTAACCAATTATTTCATATTTTGGATCTTTACTGTCACTTCTGTCTTCAGTTTTCAAGTATAAATTAGATCGCGAGTATTTATAGTGAGGCTTCAGACTGTAAGACAGAGCGTATTCTGTCTCTCGAGGCCACGTTACCAGTTTGCTAGATCGTATAATATTTGTAGACTTCAGCCTTCCATTATAATTGCCGATACTGAATCTGAAAGCCGTCTAGATAAGTGAGCCAAGTTCACGTTAAATTGATTTGCATATAGTCAAAGCGTACGCATAAATGAAGACCAAAGGGGGGAACTAGAAATTTCAGTCAACTATATCTCTTAGGTATTCATCAGATGCATGTTATTCCAAACAGTTGAAGTGTTTGGCAGAATGCTAGCAACTGTCATGGCGTGTTCATAAAGTATCTATTTGCCTATAGCGGGTTAATTGTTCTTCCTGCAAAGGTTCTCAGACCATATTAGACAGACAAGCGAATTATCGTTCCGTCTGCAACAGTACAAAAAAGTCTTCTGAAGGCTTTAACTAACTTCTTAAAGCTTGAATAGAAAAGAATGCGCAGCTTGTGCGCACACTCAAAACGCTGTCATTTTCTAGTATTTAAAATAGCATAAATTTCATTATAATTTTATAGTAGCTGGAGATCACGCAAATATGGCCTGGACTCAAAAGTGGTTACAGCCAAAAACATCGCGGACGAAAACGTCGTGCTACAAAACATCGTAGAAGAAAACATCGCAAAGAGAAAACATCGCAGTTCTAAAACATCGTGGTACAAAACATCGTCGCCGAAAATAAAGTTGTTCAAAAACTTCGCAGTTTTAAAACATCGTCGTTGAAAATATCGTGGTAAAAAAATAAAGTACCTACAAATCATTCGCATGACGATAACATCGCAGACATGTTTTTTATTTCAGGTTTTAATAATTCTAAATGGATATCCCCATAATGATTTATGAGCGCAAGATGTAAAGAAGGATAAGTTTTACTTTCATATTTTTTATTAACTAATAAAATTTTGCTTAGAAAGTAAGAAGGAAACGTAAGCATAGAAAATTAATGCAACTTATAGCACTTAATAGAATTTTAAACCGACATAGTTACCTAACAAAGACCATTAATAAATCACCTTTATAAAGTTTTTACTGGTAATTTTTCATGAAAAGTATAATCTATAAGTTGCATTAAATTTTCTATGCTTAAGTTTCCTTCTTACTTTGTCAGCAAAAATTTATTAGTTAATAAAAAAATGTGAAAATAAAAATTATCCTTCTTACATCTTGCGCTCACAATTATTATGGGAATCCATTTACAATTATTAAAACCTGAAAAAAACATGTCTGCGATGTTATCGTCATGCGATGATTTGTAGCTACTTTATATTTTACCACGATATTTTCGACGACGATGTTTTTTAAACTGCGAAGTTTTTGAACCGCTTTGTTTTCGACGTCGATGTTTTGTATCACGATGTTTCAGCTCTTTGCGATGTTTTCTCCCACGATGTTTTGTAGCACGACGTTTTCGCCTTGCGTTGTTTTCTCTGCGACGTTTTCGTCCGCGATGTTTTTGCCACGATGTTATCTGCGGACACCCTCAAAAGGTTAATGGCATGGTCTGTGTCAACTAGCAGAAGAGTAAAGCCGGAGTATTAAGTGGCAAAGTTAAGCGGTAATAAATAAACCTACAATCGTCGCTGCGAAATCTTTACATCTAACACATTCAAAATCTTCAATTTAAATACTCTTTAATCTCATTTCTATCCTGGTGAGAGCTAATTGAAATAAAGTTATAATAATGGTTTGTTAGATTACGGCAAAGCCCTCGAGGGCTATCTTCCTTAAGGGAGGGATGCCTTCGTGGAGGACGTTTTAAGGAAAACTCGCTTGTATACACGTTACACATGGGGAAAATCACGAAAACACCCATGCAGCCGGCCCGTTCGCGGAATTCGAACTTCGGACCGAACTACCAGTGTTCAGCGACGTTACCGCTCGGCCGCTGGTGGGCTAAAGTTATAATAAATATCGAAATCTTAAAAACTAGTTAATTAACATAAAGTGCCATCTGTTATTTAATTTTATACATACATCATTTTATTTTCGCTGAAAATGTAGATTTCTCTGAACGGGGCTGAGTAATACACCTAATTCAAAACTAATAAACTGAGCTTCGACGTTCAATGAGAAATGAATTCATTGATGTATATTATTTATAACCAAACAACAGAATCACGCATTTTATATATCTAAATATAAAATATCTTATGTAGACATCACATGAATTCCTCGTACGACCTATTAAATTATACACAATTTTTGCTGCACTTCAGTTAAACACGTTTCCTCAAATTTAATTAGATGTATATTCTATAAATTCAGTTCTCGCTTCACTGCAAGACAAAAATATATTTAAAAAAAAATTATAAGATACAGAAAAACTTGAAACATAAATACAGTTAAAAACAGTTAATAAAAACAATTTTTACAATTAAAATTAGAGTTTCTACGCAGAAGCAAGCAATTCATCCAGCGGGTAAGAATACACAATTTTCGGTACACAATGCTGAAAGTTAACTTTACATCACACTGAGCAGAATGACAATGAAGGTGGTGCACCGGCTGACGTAATTCACTATCTTACTAGGAGTTTCAAATGTAAACAAATAACGGTGTCTTTAGCGCTACTTAAACTATTAAATTATCGCTAATTCTACAACTATTGCATGCAGATTAACTAAAGACATAAAAACCTTAACCGAACATTTGAACAACCTAATTCAACCACTTTTAAAGAAAAAATATTTAATTTACCACCATATAAGAATACAAAACCTGAGCTTCCTGAGCCCTGTATATATATATATATATATATACGTTTGGTGCGGCTGATTGCAACGAAAAAAGAGAGGTGCACAATTACATGTTTTAGCAGTCCCATGTACAAAATTTCTATGTTCTACGGCTAATTGGTTTTGAGTTACGCTAGATGCTTACGTGTACGTGGACGTACGTACGTACGTACAGACGGGACACAAACTCTCTTCTGAATCCATTTTAAATACATTTAACAATCCATTTTGGATAAAAGATTCCTTTATTCTGTCCGTAGATACAGATATCATGCAAAAAATCATTCAGACAGATTCGAGAGTAGTATAAGTAACATAATGAAGTGCTGGCAAGCAATAAACTTAATTCGATGTATTTTAAGCATTGCAAATCATTTAAAATTCAACTGCAGAGTAAAATATGCAAATGGCGCTACAACGGTTCCATTTAAAACCATTCGTGATGAAAATTAATTAAGTACGTCTAATGAATTACATCTCAGCTTTAGAACTAGACAATACACCTTTTTCTGCAGCACAAAGGTAAAAGAATAGCCGCTTGTAAATTCTGCTCCTAGATAGTAAAGGAAACGATTTTTATGTTTTTGATTAAATGCTTTTTATTATTCTACACTTTAAAGGAAATTATACTTTCAAATTTTAATTTTGAAATTTTTCTCTATGAATGTGCGTCCTATTAGCATATGTCACAAGTTTCTGTGAAAATAAGTTCATATTTCTTTGTCAGCACGAAATTTACAAAGAAAAATACTAATTCATTTGAAAATATAATTACCAACGCTTGAATTTTCTTTTGATGTGTTCTAGTATAAAAGCACAATCTTGTATTTGAAGGGAGACATCAGGCTTCGAACCATTTCTTAATAAATTTTGCCATTCATCAAACGAAGACATGTTATACGAAGGTTCATCTGAAATTAATAATTTAGACTGTGTCAAATATTGTGTGTTATAATCAATAATATTTGCTGCTATAGTTAAGAAAAGTAATTTGATAAAAACGTGTATTATACGTTTTTGATGTACATAATCTAATATCTTTTTCTCTTCCAACAGTAGCGACTTCGCTTTTCCCCATTCCTGTAGAAACTGTTTTCTCTCTTTCTCACTTCCATTAAAACCTGTGAAAGAAATTGATAAAGTCAGAAAACGAAGTTGAAAACGAATTTTCATTTAAACACTTTGTTTTGCTAATTTCCAATTCATAAAACAGAGTGCTTACGTAATTGCAAATTAATTAAATAGTTGCACTAACAGTTAAACAGTTTTGTCTAGTTTGTAATCGATTACAGTATTACAAACACTAATTTCATTATAAAATGTTCTGCCCTTTCGTGCAGCATAAAAAAATCTGATGTGTACGCAACATGACTTCCTTGTACGGAATATTAAATTGTACGCATTTTTTCTTGCATTTCATTTAAACTTATTGGATTGAATTAAATCTACTTCGTCGATAGCGCATAAACAATAGAATAAATGCATTCTTTAAAATTTACTATATTTGTTTACCATAGCGATGCTCTGGCGTTCACTTCACAATTCACTTAACAGCGTTATATTTTACTCATTTTATAACTAGGAATGCAAACAATTTATATCATCTGAAGAATTATCTAATATTTGCCATATGTTCTATTCAAATGCTATAATAAATCTAAAACGATGTATAAAAGAAATTAAGCAAACAACAACAAGAAAACAAAAAAGAAACAGTTTTTCATAGACGATTCAGTATTTCTCATTCAATTAAATTCAATTTTCACTTCGCGACAAGGCAAAACTATCTGTATTGAAAATTATGAAGTAAATCTTAAACACTTATTTCCTCGAATAAATTCCAGAATGGAGCAAGCATGATTTAATTCTCAATAACAAAAGAAGGCGTTATCTTTTTTGTTGCGAAGCTTAGTTTCTCTAGATTGGCAACAAATCCGCTATTTTGCCAAGTTTGAAATATAAACAAACATGGCCGCCATCGCAAAACTAATTAGGCTTAGCCGCTCTTAAACACCTTTTAAATTACTGGTAATTCTATTGCATGCAGATTTACTAAAGGCATAAAAACTTTAACCGGAAGATAAGAACAACATAATTCAATCATTTTAAAGCAAAAAAAATGCACTATTTAGAAATATATAAGAGTAAAGAAGAGATCACTGAGCCGGGTAATAGAGTGGATCAAAATACGAGGTGCACATCTACACGTTATAGCAGTCCTGTACACAAAATTTTAATGTTCTGAGGCTACTCGTTTTTGAGTTATGCCAGATACGTACATACGTACGTACGTAATGTCCGTGCTTACGTCTACGTACGCGCTGACGCCACGAAAAATTCTCTTTAGAATTCATTTTAAATCAGTTTTTATATTTATTTGGGGGGGAAAGAGTCTTTTATTCCGTCTTTACGTACAGATGTCAGAATGCACAAAACTATAACTCAGAATGCACAAAATTTATATCATTTAAAGAAAAGAATTATCTAATCGTTGCCACATGTTCTATTCAAATACTGTAATAAAGCTAGAATGATGTATAAAAGAAATTAAGCAAACAAAACAATAAAGAAACAGTTTTTCACAGACAATTGAGTATTACTCATTCAATTAATTCAATTCTCACTTCGCGAGAAGGCAAAAATACATAAAAACTCAAAATATCTATATTAAAAATTACGAAGTAAATCTTAAATACTTATTTCATCGAAAACAATCCAGAAAGGATTAAGCATGATTTAATTGGCAATAATAATGAAGGGTTATCTTTGTTGTTGAAGCAGTTTCCCTAGATTGGCAAAAATCCACTAGCCTGCTGTTCAAATGTAAACAATCAATGGCCGCCGTAAAAAAAAAAAAAAGCTTAGCGGCACTAAACACTTTAAATTGTTGATAATTCAAAAGTATGCACCCAGATTTACGAAAGTCATAAAAACCTAATCGGAAGATAAAACAACACAATTCAATCATTTTAAGCAAAAAAATATACAATTTACAAACATATAAGAGTAAAGAACTGAGATCACTGAGCCGGGTAACAGAGTGGATATATTAAAAATATTATATACGTTTGGTGCGGCCGATTGCAACCAAAATACGAGGTGCACATCTACATGTTATAGCAGTCCTATATACAAAATTTCAACATTCTGAGGCTACTCGTTTTTGAGTTATGCGAGATACGTACGTACGTACATTCGTTCGTACAGACAGCACGAAAAATTCTCTTCAGAATTCATTTTAAAGCAGTTTTATATATTTTTTTTTTTTTGGAGGAAACGGGTCTTTTATTCTGTCCTTACGAACAGATGTCACGCAAAAACTTCGTTAACATTCGATAGCGATCAAAATGGATATTTTCTTTGAAATATGATGCCTGAAACTTGTCGCGATTACGATACTTCCTTTTTACCTCGTACAAGGAAGTAAAAAATCTATATCAGCGCATGGAAAAAAATAAGACAATTAGGAGTAACTACAGAATCAGATCAAAAGCGCCATTTCTTCATAGGGGACACAAGAAGTTTAAATGCTATTAAAAAGTATGTTAATATAAAATGGATTAAGTAATAACAATATAAAAGGAAGTAGATACTTACAGTGCCTCAAGAATAGTCTATATTCAGAGATTTAATTTCCAGAGAATGGAATTTATCAAAATGATTGTATCCTAGATGTGTACATGAAATGGCGCATCGTTGATTGTATAATTCATTTGTTATTATAAAATAGTATCTTTTTCACGTTCTTTTTCATAGTTCCCTAGTTTAATGCTAATTGCATCCTAGAAATCTGAATACGAAGGTATATAGAGTTTTCGTATTTTATCTGTGTGACAATTAAATCTGTAAATGCTGCCGAAATAAGCTCGGCTCGTGAAATAATATTTGACTTCATTTGTATTAGATATATTTGTACTAAAACTGGTGGAATTAAATCTGAGAGACGTCTCGTTATTTCCAGACGACATTCTTTAGAGTGCAAATCCCAAGAAATCCCGCATACTTTAATACACATAGGTATAAAATAATACTTGTTTAGACAAACAAAAATAGACAGATAAAACAACCTGAATGTTAGCTGTTTGAATAGAAAGAATGAGAGGGGGAAAATTTCGATTATGAAACGATTCCCTGATAGTATTTGGAGTTAATCTTGACATTTTTTTGGCACTCTCCTTATTTTTAACTTGCCATTATAAGAAAAACCAGCAACAATCATGAATCCCTTAGAAAAACTTTCTTTCAATTCTTTCAACCATGTACTTAATTTTTTTTTCTCCCCTTTTATGATAATAAATGGCTCTTTTTTTTTACAATCATTTAAATACACCCATGCTTCATCTATTGTGACAATTGTTTTCTATTTTTCTCATATAGAATTCTGCAGCGTGTCCTGCGTTGAGCGATATGCTTTGGAAGAAGACGATGCACATAGCGTTTTTTCGCTTTCTAAGATTTAAATCAACGTTTATCATTTAGTTTACAGTGGCCACCGACCATTTTAATGATTTTGCAACTGTCCTTTGACTAGGGGGATTTTTTTTAACATTAAACAACGTACCTTTGCACTAGTCGAAGATGTCCGATTTTTCCTTAGATACTTGTTTGGAATTTTTGTCGCTTAGATATCACAAAACCATGACTCTCACATCGTTTTTTGATAACGGAGTATGCATATTTCTCTTCTGAAAGAGCGTAAATGTAGCCTTCGAACCACTGCTTTGTTAATTTCGCCATTTTGAATAAAAACAACACTTTCAAGGCACAGACGATAATTTTGACTTTTAAAAACATAGTACAATTGCAATTACTTCTTTTTCAGCAAACGATGTTTTATTACCGCTTACCAAAATCGTCTAAAAAATGTGCGAACAGCCTCTGTAAAACTCTTTTTTTCTTATGCAAAAGCACGCATAAAAAATTATCCCTAAAAACTACAAGTAAAATGTAATTTTTGTAACTTTGTTATAAGGGCACAAATTTGTTTCGTTCTACCCTATTTTTTTTTTTTTTTTTTTTTTTTTTTACTTTTTAGAAGGCAGTAATTCAGCAAGCAGAATACAGAATTCGGATTTAAACGAAGAGAAACAGCAAACGCTACATAGAAAGGATTAAAATTTTTGAATTAACCAGCACGTTCACAGTTTGAAGGTCCACAAGTAGCCGAATCAAAAGACCGCTGAAGACAATGCTAAAGCGTGCCTGTACATTTTTTTTACGAAGACATCTTATCCTTAAGCAAATAGCTGTCAGATGTGTCCGCAAAAAGCATCGTGGACGAAAACGTAGCCGAAAAAATCTTACAAGCGGAAAATGTTGTAGTACAAATCATTGTGGGAGAAAGCAAAGGAAAGAGAAAACATCGCGTGGGAAATAACATCGTCGTGGCAAATAAAGAGGTTCAAAAACATCGCATTTTTAAAATACTGTTGCAGAAAATGTCGCGGTAAAAATCATCGCGTGGCGATAATGTCTCAAACATGTGTTTTTCAGGGTTTAAAAATTATAAATGCGTATTTGCATAATGATTTGATAGCAAAAGAAGGAATGTCGAATAATTTTATCTGTACATTCCATATTTTTGGATTAATTAATAGTTATTTCCTAAAAAGCAAGACTAGCATTCAAAAAATGAAGTAGAAAATTATTAATACATATAGTTGTTGATATAATTTTAAATTTACGTATGTCCATTTTGATAATTTTTAGACTGAATTTTTCATACAAATCTATCAATACACATTTGTAAAAGAAATTAATTAAATAACTTCTATTATTAAGACACAATAACACGCCGAATAAATACTAATTCAGAAGACAAACAACAAAAATCAGCGTTATATTTACAAAATTTCCACAGTGTATACAAAATTTCCAATTTTGCAAATATAACGCTGATTTTTGTTTGTTTGTCTTCTGAATTAGTAACTTCTATTAATAATTAATCATAAATTTAAAATTCTATTAACTGCTATACATAGCTTTTATTTTCTACTCCTTTCAGTTTCATAAGACTTAAATTCCCTTCTTGCACTTGGTTACTAATTAATCCAAAAATGTGAAATATAGAGGGAAAATATTCCTCATTTCTTACTGAGCTCGCCCAGCAGCTGAGTAGTAAAGTCGTTGAACACTAGTAGTTAGGTCCGAGATTGGAATCCCGCGAAAGGGACGGACGATTTTGTGGACGGACTTTGTCTGTGTGGACGGACTTTGTGGACGGACTTTGTTTGTGCAGACTTTTGTCTGCACGGACGATTTTGTGGTTTTTCCCCATGTGTAACGTGTATACGAGCCAGTTTCCCTTAGAAAGACTTCCATGAAGTCATCCTTTCCCTTAGGCAGATAGATCTCTAAGCTATACCGTAATCATATAAACCAAATCAAACCTCACTAAGCTCACACATCATTAAAAGAATATACATTTACAAATTTTAAGGCTTGAAAAATACATGCCTGTGTTATTATTTGCTAGTGCTTTATTCTTTGTCGCGATATTATCTGTGATGATATTTTAAAATTGCGATGTTTTTGAATGGCTTTATTTTTCGAAGCCGATTTTTTAGAACGATGTTTTCTCTTTGCTTTCTTTTCTCCTGCTATGTATTCCACACTGTGGAGAGAAATTTGATGGAAGTCACCCAATCAACTTAATATATTTAATTACGTTTACTTTTTAATTACTTTAATCACTTTTACTTACTCCAGAAATCAAAAAGTGATCAAAGCTGGAGGTAGACATACGGGTCATTGGCGATAATCTGTAATAGTTTGGCCACTCAGTATATATTTCTCTCATACTTTTATCAATCTCAAACATCTTTCTATTTATTTCATCTGAATAATGAAGAAGCATCTAATTAAAATGCAATGAAAGACTGAAATTCAGAAGATACTCAGTGCCGAATTTGTTGCTGACACAACTAGTAAACAGTAGTCTAAGTAAGGTGAGCTTCGTAAAACTTCTCAGATGTTCAGTATTTTAGTTAAACTGTTCTTCTGATTCAGCTATGAAAATTTATAAATTTACGCAAATTTGTTGCTGACAAAGATACTAAATTCTGTTATATATGCATTATAAATAACTAAATATCTGCAAGACAATTTACTATGAATGTTGCAACAGAGGAAAGTTTACTTTGATTATATACTTACAAAAAAGTAATTATAGTATAACTCACTATATATATCATAGACGATTTCCGATGTAATTCCATCTGTTTCGTCTATTTTATTTGAAATCACATAATGCAACGCCATTATCATTGTAATGCTCAGTAGTAACCATCTGAAAAATGTAAAAATGTAATAACATGTTTAGAATTCATTGCTTATTTTATCAAAATCATTCGATATTGAAAATTTTTTCAATGATTTTTAAAACAGTCTCTATCAAATGTTAAGATGCGTTTAAAAATGTTTCAGTATATTTAAAGGGGAAAGTCAGCATATCAGTCAGCATTCAGTTGCAGCTTACTGATTGCGTATCTCATCATAAAACGTTGTGTTGTTTATCGAATGGATTAAAAGTTGTTTAAAGAATAATTTTTAATACTTTTACATTTCAGAACAAAATTCTAATCCAAAAGGAGCTAAGCTAACTTTTATCCCCTTTCTAGGTTTGAAGATATGGAAAGTATTCAAATATGATACAAATATATAAACATAAGAAAAACTGTCACACTTGAAAAATGAAATGCTGAAACTTGAAAATAGAAGTACTTAAAAAGTATAAATAAAAAAATTCATACTCACAGCAAGAGCATATATCGTATTATTTTTTCGGATGTCAACGTTGGGAGAACCTTTTTCAGCTTTTGGTAATATGTTAATTCGTCGTTTTTCCGTATCAATGGCTGACACAATTCCAAAGACTCCATCTCCAAAGCAAATATATTCCCTTGCTAAAAATGATGAATGTTATAGGAATTATTAATTATTTATACCAGATATGCAAATATACCTGTCATCGAAATTTTATCTTTGTAAAAATGCTGAAAAATAGGTCTGTGTGGACTTATATATAATATCCAAAATTTAATCTAGGTCATTTCACATTTGGTCTTATCTGTACTGTATCAGACTTACAGAAATACTCTAACTGAAATCAGTTGTTATACAGAGGCTGTTCGCGCAATTTTTAGACGATTTTGGTAAACGGTAATAAAAAATCGTTTGCTGTAAAAGAGGTACTTGCAATTGTACTATGTTTTTAAAAGTCAAAATTATCGTCTGTGGCTTGAAAGTTTTGTTTTTATTCAAAATAGCGAATTTAACAAATCAGTGGTTCGAAGGCTACATTTACGCTCTTTCCGAAGAGAAATATGCATACTCCGTTATCCAAAAACGACGTGAGAGTCATGGTTTTGCTATATCTAAAGCGTCGATAGGTAATATCATCAACAAGAAAGAAAAAAAAAACCGTCAAATTGGAGCCTCAAATGGGACAAAAATTCCAAACAAGTATCCAGAGAAAAAACAGACATGTTCGACTATTGCAAAGGGACGTTGTTTAATGTTAAAAGAAAAGACCCCTAGTCAAAGGACAGTTGCAAAATCATTAAAATGCTCGGTGTCCACTGTAAACAAAATTATAAACGTTGATTTGGAATCTTAAGAAAGAGAAAAACGCAATGTGCATCGTCTGCTTCCAAAGCATATCGTTCCACGCAGGACAGGCTGCAGAATTCTATATGAGAAACACTTATCCAAAGAAAAATGGAAAACAATTGTCACAATAGGTGAAGCATGGGTGTATTTAAATGATTGTAACATAAAAGAGCCATTTATTATCATAAAAGGGGAGAAAAAAATTTAAGTACATAGTTCAAAGAATCGAAAGAAAGTTTTTCTAAGGGATTCATGATTATTGCTGGTTTTCTTATAATGGCAAGTTAAATATAAAGCAAGTGCAAAAAAATTTCAAGATTAACTCCAAATACTATCAGGAACATATTTTATCGCCAATTTTTCTGAATGAAATACCATCGCTTTACCCACAGTGCCATTAATCTATGAGACTCCATCAGAGCACAGCTAGCAGTCACACATCAAATTTCACTGTAAATTTCCTAAAAGAAATGGAACAAAAAACTGGTATCAAGGCCATACACTTGTAGGGTTTATATTTATTTTAACTAACACACTTCACTGATATCCCTACTAGTCACGTATGGATTTTTGTGCTTTCGGACTTTTAAAAACTGTATTATCAAAAACGTTGTCCCAAAACCCTAGCATGATTCTGGAAAGCTGTTCGTGAGGAATGGGATAGAATACCTCTTCTAATACTTCAAAAGGCATTATTATCCTGGAAATCGCGGTGTCGAAAGATAGTTCAGAATAAGGGGTGGCAAATAGAACATTTAAAACACAAGAATTTTATGTAATTTAGTTTTGTGAATACAATATACATCGTCTAAAATTGTGTGAACAGCCTCTGTATCGGAAACTCATATGGTGGAATAAATGAATTTAAAGACTATACGTGTTGCGTGCGTACAGCTTCCTAAGAGATTGAATGCACAAGGTCTGATGAAAAGTAATAAAATTTATGCTTATCACAAGAAATAAAACAAAATGCTGAAATTTTTCCACAGAGATATTTGTACAATATCACAATATCACACAGTAGTTATATTTTAAACTAGTAAAACACTAGATAGAACGCAATCCAAAGCGCCGAGAAAGCTAATCCGATTTCACCACGAATTCGCTACAATCAGTAGCAATAACTAAGTAAACAACTGAACTGAGATGTTTCTATCTGGCCTTTTAAAGCTTTTTAATCGGGCAGAAGAATATTCTGGTAATTTCCGTCTTCTCGAGATTTCTGGAAAGCAAAAGGGTAGAATTACGGTCACAGCTAAGCGCGTGCTCCTGTATATTTAATCTTTCGGCGTAGCTTTCTCTCAGAACTTGTCAGGCGTTGCGTTGCACGGGAAAATAAAACAATTTTAATTACAGTACTACTAAAAGTAGCTAACTAAGTACAAAATCTGTAACACTGCCCCCTTTCCAGGGATTGCACGTCCTGAGCAGCACAATCCCTAGACAAAAAGCCAAATTTACAACTAAAGCATCACTGCAATAATAAACATTACATTACAAAAACAAACAACACAAACAATAATTGCAATGAGTAACTTAGAACAAATCAGATGTTATCAAATATTGAATGCAAATCAAATCAAATACGAATTTAGAAACAAAAAGGACCATGGTCTTATAATATTTACAATTATATACACTACGTGCTATGGCCATAGTAAGTAGCTAACCTGTCGTAATGCACGACTTAAGCCTAGAGTACTAGAGCCTAGATTCTAGAGCCTAGAACTCTAAGCCTAGGGTTCGATGACTTACGGATCCGAACCACGACGTCATTCAGCCTGTTTAGAACTGTGCATGGACCATCCCAAGGTGATTGCAGTTTAGGACAGACTCCTTTCCGTCGAGTCGGATTCCACAACCACACTTTGTCTCCTTCGTTAAATCGATTGTCTAGTAGCTCTGGTGTCGTATCGGGTCTTTATCTTCTCTGTCGCCAAGTTGACTCGCTCTCGTGCAAAATTGTGCATCACTTCAAACCGGGCATGGAGGCGCATCCGGAGGGCGACCAAACTAGGGATCACAAGACAGACGAAGGTTACGACCGATTAGCATCTGGGATAGATAAAAGTCGGTAGTCTCGTGTTTCTCTTCGACCCTAGTATGATTTCGGAAGCTTTCTGAGCAGGGTATTTTAGACAAGGAGTCAGCGTTTTCAGGTCAGGATCTCTTCTGATGATGGATAGTTATATCCTCTGATGTTGAAAGCAGTTTGTTGTTTTTGGAGTCCAAGGAAAAATTGTATTGTCTTAAAAAGTTCATTCCGTGTATGCAAGGATCTGTAATATCTGCCACATATGCCGTATGATAGAAAGCAGCACTTCCAAACGTGATGTTCACGTTTAACTTTCTAACACAAGGAGATCACACACGACACTTTCACACAAGGAGATCGACACGACACAAGGAGATCACAAGGAGATCGACACGATTCTTTCACACACGACGTAGATGGGATATCTATGTCGATTTTATCACCAGATGTATTCTGGAGGGTAACACAGGATGGCGTCCAAATGAGTTTATCTTTAAAATGTTGAGCTAAATTTTTCCGAATGATGGTAACATTAACTCCTGTGTCAACGACCATATTTCAAGGAACTCCATCGATATGCCCATTTTGGATAGTTCATTGCTGTTGCCATTCACTTCAGAAATCTTCAGCGCTTTAACATTAGAGTTACGGCAACGGTGATTTTTATCGTATCTCCATTTTAATTGGACATAACCTTTTTCATTCTTTATTTATAAATTTGATAGTTTTGACTTTTTCTAAACACTTACGAACATTACAGGATATTTTTTTTGCCCATTTTATATAATTTATTTTCACCAATATTATTGTTTATATCTAGAATTACGGCTATCGGCCATTTTGACCGTATCCAGAAAATTATACATTTTCGTTATTTTTAACACTGTTTTAAGCCATTTCCAGTTTACTGCTAAATAAACAAGTGCATTTTTGGTAAGAAAGGTTGTATATTTCACAGAAATGAATGGGGAGGGGAATAAAAACATCCGCTTGGAAATGCTCTCCACGTGTCTTCCCGTTTCCCTTGTGTTAGAAAGGTTATTTTTCGGTAGACACAACTGTACTTCATTCGGACAGTTTTGTTCTTCTGGCCTGTTTATAATGTCGCATAGACGGGCTGATAGAAAATATCTAACGAAAGAAGAAGATGCTGAAAGGTTTTGAAAGTCTTTCTGATAATTATCGCGCTTCAGAAACTGAACCTGCTGGAAGAATTTCATACCGAAACTATATCCAATTTATTCGACGAGAACCGAATTGCTGTTATTGAAACAAATGAATCTAATTCATCTGATGGACAACCTGTTCACGAAACAGGAAACAAAAGTAAAAATTTATATTACTTTATCTTCTACTATTATAGTTTCCGGAAGTGAAATCAACGACAGTAGTTGAGCTCGAGAAAGTAGAGAAAGGCAACAAAACAGAACTCGAGAACAAAGAAAGTAAGGAAATTCAAAACGATGAAAAAACAGCGAATGATGACTCAGTTCAGAAAATAGGAAATATTTCAAAAAGTGTTACAGCGTGACGTCCTCAGCAGGGTATCCTGCGAGAAGTAGCTGGGCCACCTTAGTTAGCAAGGGAAAACATAATTGATGATAACTCAAGTAGTGCATGTAAGTAGTGCTGACAACGGACAATTTTTTTTACTCCGCTGAAATTAGTAAAAGAAATGAGCAGTTCACGGATAAGCTGCGTTGGCACAGTAAATCGTTCAAAAGGAGAAGTGCCTTATACTAGGGATGAGCTTTCTTCAGGAAAATATGTAGAGTTCGTGCTTTGGACCAGATGACCACAAAATACTCAATGAAGTCCTCATCCAGACATTGGCTAGTTCAAGTGGCTTTTCTTGATTTGGCCACGATAAATGCATAGATAATTTACACGGAAGCAACTGAATAACATTTCATCCAAAGTTCACAAGCTTCTTGTATCTGATGAAAATAGAATTTATACTTGCAACAGCCCTTCCCGTAAGCTTAAACAGGTAAATGCATGCCGATGTAACAAAATTTAAATGCTTGTGAATACCGTAAAAATATATATGTGGAACCTGTACAGGTAAAATTAAAAAAATTAGTAATGTAAGTGCTAATATGTGAAATTTTTAATATATTTATTCCATATTGAAAACTTTTATGAGTCAATTTATTAAATGGTAAGAAGTCTAAAGATATCTAGAGTGATTTCTTTTTCTTTTAGCTCTTTGCTATATCAAATTATACTTCGATTAATATATTTACTCTATTTTATTTT